AGCACTGTCGTCCCTGGGTATGCAATTCCAGCGTCATTATCCCCTGAAAGGTTCGAGACCCAGTGGCCCCGACAACGCCCTGGTTGTGCCACTGCCCCTGGATGCCAGGGGCTCCCCCTGGGCGCTGCCTTCCTGGGAGGGCGTCTGAGCCGCTGGCCTCCTGGGAGAGCCTCAGACTGCCGTCCCGGAGGGCCCTGAGAGCGCTGGGTTGTCTTTGAGATGGTCCGGGGCACCACAACCCTGAGATGGCCTGGGAGACCAATGTCCAGAAAGAGCCCTGTGGCACCACGTCCTGGGCTCAAGTCTCTGGGGGCAACGCAGTAGTCTCTAGAGGCCCCTGATGGAAACCAAGTCCCCAGGACGTCTCAGGAGCTGCCACAATCCCTGGCAGGATCCTGCCAACCCTGGGTAGGCTCCCAGCACCCGAGGGCCTACCGCCTCCCCAGGAGCCCCTGAGATAACTGCAACCCCTGGGAGAGACCCTGGCGGTGCCACCGCTACTGTGGGCGCCACAGCTTTTGGGAGTGCCCCTGAGGGCCTGCTGTCCCTGAGAGGGTCCCGGGGTGCATCGTCGCCCCTGGGGGTAGTTGTTTTTGCACTATTTAAAACTCTGGTAGATATGACGTTAAACCGCCCATCACATTTCCAGTATTATTGCATCCTGAACAATGAAAAGTTGACTAAATATCCAACAGGAAACATAAGTTGGGGTGTTATGCTGACTGACTGCTCTGTTCTCCTATTGGCTGCAATTTGGTGGATTTACATTTCAGTCCACCAATCATAGACAAGTAAGGGATTGCTGGACGTATGCACTATGTACGACACCAAGATCAAGCAAGCTATAGGGCTCCTGGGAGGGGAAGCCCCTGGTAGGTCCTCTGGGAGCGCCGCTGTCCTAGAGAGGGACCCTGACAGCACCAGTGCCTCTGGGACGGGCCCTATTGATGCCACCACCCCTGGGTGAGCACCCGGGGTTCTTCTGTCCCTAAGGAGGGCCCCTAGGGGGTGCTTGTATCCCTAAAGAGGGCCCCTAGTAGATAAGGTAGATAAAGCATAGTAGATAAAAAAGAGTAGATATGGTAGATAAAAGAAAGTAGATACGGAAGAGTAGTTAAGGTAGATAAAGTTGAGTAGATGAGGTAGATAAAGTTCATTTCCGAGGAGTTTTTCGCTTTGGCGAGAGGTTGGACGGGGTGGGGTAGCTTTAGTACCCCCCCCCTTTTTTTATATTCTCAAACACTCCCTTGAGCACTAACTTACCCACTGAGATGAACGAATCTAACCTAACCTAACCTCAACTCAACTCATAGTTGGTTACATTATGTAAAAGTGACTTTTGCATAGTTCACCGAGTGAGATGAGGTTTGGTTCAAAGATACTCTACTCAAGATAGGAGAGCTACAGCTAAAATATATGAAATGTGTGTACGGCATAGTTGCCAGACAACTTAATTATAGCACCATCTATTGGCTGCGTCCAAAAGCTATTTGTTACGTCATAGACGTTGATGTGACGTCATGAGTGATAGTTTTTTACGTTTTCCATTTATTTTAGACATATCAATCTTCATTTATGTATGCATGTATGTATACATATAAAGAGAGAATGAAAACCTTACTGTATAATTTTCACTGACTCCATTGCCTCAAGATCTTAGATGAGTTCAGAAATTAAAATACACAAAATCTTTTCTCTTGCACAATTCTCATACAATTACTGCACGTGATGAATCACCTGTCATGCCGTTACATAAATTTGGGGAATAAATGACCTTGTTTTCAGTAGAGTTCTTGGCTATTAAAAGACATTCTTGTTGTTTATATTTATTGAAATAAACAAACACAAAACCAAACATTCAAGTTGTCTTGGTTACTAATGTATTATAATATTTAATCTAACATGATACATGTAAATATTAACATTACCAATAAATTAACATTAATTATTATTAAATCATGCACTATATATATATATATATATATATATATATATATATATTCATAGATCCACAATGAAAACGTGGATAAGATCAATCTTGATAAAATCACACGTGATTTTATCAATATATATATATATATATATATATATATATATATATATATATATATATATATATATATATATATATATATATATATATATATATATATATATATATATATATATATATATATATATACTGTATATATATATATATTTTTTTTTCTTTTTTTTTTTTTCTTTTAGTGTTTATTTATTTATACAGATATACATATACTGTGTATACATTATAATAAAGAAATGTGTAGTACAGTAGGTATACATTCAAACTATGAAATGTATTTTTTTAATTGCACTCTTACTGTATATTAGAAATAGTGTTAATTTTACCTATCTTTACTGATCTGAGGTATATCCACAGATGGCAGTGTTAGGTGATGGTCCATAGGTAGTTGGGACTCTTGGTTGAGTGGCACACTTGCTGTAGTGCCTGTGGATGATTCCTGAGTGTGACTGAAATACACAATGTCATCTATTGCAGCCTCTGATACTGTATGGAGTAAAGATATAGTCAGTAATATATAGTGAATACAACATGAATATCAATAAATTTTCAATCTATTTTTAATAATTAATAATACAGTACCAAACTATATTGACATATAACACTAATGTAAAGCTTTGGACAGTCTTTAATACTGTGAACATAATCCACTATGCATATCAATTAAATTAGGATATATAACCATGTATTCACTAATCTTGAATTTACAGACACAACCTGAGCAAAATACACTTGACATATGAGCTTGTTGTAAGATGTCTTTTGCTGGAAAATTGTGCTTGGTTCTCACACCATCTACGTGTACAGATCCTTCATCCATTTTACCTTAGTGCAATTAATGTTCTTTAGAATATTAATAAAATAATTGGATATTTTCCAAACATATTAACAGTTTAATCTTCATACGTTGTACAGTTAGGTCATCTACAAGTTGTCTTACATTTTAATAAGTCAATCCATATGCATACAATCCACTCACCAAAATCAAAGTCATGGAAGATAAAGGATCTGTCCCCCTTAATGGACCACAGGAGATAGTAGAGACAATCACCTCGTAAAGACCCCCCTCACCCCCGCCTCTCTCCCACATCCTCCGTGAACATGATTAGTTTAGGTTACGTAGGTTTGGCTACTTATGGTATGGTTGGGTCGGGTCGGGTCGGGTCGGGTCGGGTCGGGTTTTGCATGCCACAGTTGACATAGATTATTTATCATTACTTCATGAGTTACCATGACTGCAGGTTCCACATGAGCTACTTCCATCATCCTTTTAATCTAAATTTGTCCACTTATAAACATACTAGTCGTTCGGGCGGTTGGTCTGTGTCACACTGGACAACACGCTTCTCACAACTGTCCCAGGCTTGGACTCGAACCCACGACATAATATTGAGAGATACAGCTCCCATACCAGCCATGTACAGTATTTACAACAAGATTCTACAGAAATTACAATTAATGAATAATACAATGTCGTAACGTGACTCGGAAGTATGTAACGGGTTGGGGCGGGCCACTGATAGGATAATGACGTCCTTCCCTAATGGTGCATTTGGTGGTGGTCGTGGGCATGATGAGAGGAGGGGGGGGGGTCAGTATGGTGTGGTGGAGGTAGTGACAAGTGAAGGAGTGGGACCATCAGTCAGTCAGATACGGTGTTCACTTCAGGAAGCATCTGTGTGGCAGCAGTTTTTTGTCTGGAGACTCGCGTAAGTCTTTTTTACATTAACTTACAGACCCAGACACAAGGCAGGATACTACGAGTGGTCTTAACTGATCCTGGTGGGGTTAGGTGACTTTCTATGGAATATACGGATATATGAAAAGGCTGCATATGTCTGGGTAAGTGATAAGCTGTGTATACTGGTAGGTGTGTGTGGGGGGTATTAGTGCTTATATATGAATGATAGGCGGTAAAATTTTTAACCTTAGCACATGTGACAGGATACGTTAAGAACAAACAAATTTTCAGACATTATAATTCACTTTCTGCCAGGCTTAGGAAACATGAAGATGATGATGGTGACGATGAAGATGATGATGGTGACGATGATGATGATGGTGACGATGATGGTAGAGGCGGCCTCACGTGAAACAGAGGAATCAGAGGCGCGTTACATTTACATCAACACCGACTCTCCCTTAACTATCGGTAAGAAACACTGAACATTTATTACCCTTATTAACTTATTTTGTTAGCCACTGTAAACATGTTGTCTCCACCCACAAGGATCACTTACCTCTATTTCCTCCTGATCCTCCTCTTCCACCCCTAACTTCCCTGATCTTCCTCTTCCACCCCTAACTTCCCTGATCCTCCTCTTCCACCCCTAACTTCCCTGATCCTCCTCTTCCACCCCTAACTTCCCTGATCCTCCTCTTCCACCCCTAACTTCCCTGATCCTCCTTTTCCACCCCTAACTTCCCTGATCCTCCTCTTCCACCCCTAACTTCCCTGATCCTCCTCTTCCACCCCTAACTTCCCTGATCCTCCTCTTCCACCCTTAACTTCCCTGATCCTCCTCTTCCACCCCTAACTTCCCTGATCCTCCTCTTCCACCCTTAACTTCCCTGATCCTCCTCTTCCACCCCTAACTTCCCTACAGCATACTATCACCAGCTCCAGGATATCACCAGATAGTGGTCTCTGAAAGGGTCATTAGTCATCTCCTTTCTCCCTCCCTTCCATTTCCCACCACTTCCTTATCTTCTCATTATCAATCTGTCCCTAACCCTTTCTCTTCTCCCTATTCATTTTCTATTCTCCTTTCTCTCAACTATTTACCCCTTTCTCCATCACATGATTCTTAATTGTTTTAGAACACCACAGAACACTTATAATGTACATGCTAAATACAATCTATTTTCTCTCCCCCTCCTTCCCTCCCTCCCTCTCAGCCGCCCTACTCAATGTCCCCCTCTCCCTGGCATTACCTCTCCTCGCCCGCCGCCGCCACTACAGTAGAGAACGAAGCTACCATCACGACCCGAATCTGGAATCTGAACTTCACAATCACGTCACTCCTGAACTGCCGCTGTACGATGACCCCCATTACACCGCTGAGGTGGACAAGCTCAAGTCCTACTTTAAATTCCTTCAGGTGAGTGAGTGAGTGAGCGAGTGATGATGTGAACGTAAGACCTCGAGTGTTCAGATCATTTACAATCCACTTCCCGACAAAACCAAGGAAGAAATGGATCACCTTAAGAATCTCTACCCCAGCTTAATTAACCTAAAGATTTACCACTATTTTAGGGAGGGGTGATTTTAAGTTAAGGTTAGTGTTAGTGTGGTTAATCTTCAGGTGAAATAAGCTGGGATGGATATTTTTTAGGTTATCCGAAGAAACTGAACGTCAGTCTCATAACCGCGGGAGGCTGTCAGCACTTATCTTCACTGGCTCAGACTTTAACGAGAATATCCTCATAAATTTAACGAATTGAAGCGCCAATTACTCAGCGACCCGCATATAACGTTGTAGGGGCGAACTGCGAGGTCTGAACATTTTAAAGGTTTCGAAATATCTGCCGACTTTCAGATCTTTCGTAAAATTGAGGACAATCTTGATTAATTATTTTGTCAGCATAAATGTATGTTATTTAGTATATAGTATACATACAAACTAAACCTGCATCCTGTGTCGCAGATATTAAATGTTTTGCCACAGATCCTGGTGATGTCAGCTCCCGGATGCAGATATGATCAGGATGTGACAATTATTTCCAGACTGTAAACTGTATCGTGAGCACCGAGGACACTGCAATCCTCCTGTAAGATTATAAACAAACCTTGATTATACTTTATTCTTCTGCCTTTCCCCCCAACATATATCGAAGGACCTGTCACACTGGCGGCGAGGCCCAGGGTTAGATTAAACTAGGATAACTGGATCGTACAGTAGCTGTAAGTGATGGTCATAGTCTGTGATAAGGCATATCTAAACATCCAGAAACTATCTGTACTGTGTGGCTAGAACAGGTTAATAATTCACAACATGGTCAAACAACAGCTAGTGTGAGAGCGTTTCAAATATTATCTCTGTAACTACTATTAAAATGTGTAACTTTCCTCGGTCGTGTTCGTTGCTTTATAGTACTTAATATATATTACTATTACTGTTTGATTTTCGTCATCTGTATACAGGTCGATGAGGAGGAGTGCCGTGAGAAGATGTTGTGTCAGCTGGCGAGTGACCCACAAGTCTATTACCCCGTCTCCAACATCATGCTGAAGGAACTCCGGTTAGACACACACACACACATACAATGATTAGTTAGTTCACATACGTATAATAATTAGCAAGTTGTAGCAGTAATATGTAATAAAGATTAAACTATTGTTAGACATTATTAATAAATTTTTTGAACACTCATTTCATATCGACAGTGAGCGCCACGGGCCTGTGATGGAAGAAAAAGACAACAGGTTTTGGAGGTACACGAAGGCGTCACAGACGGGGATTACGGCCGCCCCTGGAGACTGTGAGGTCTTCTACCCCTCCTGCACCCTAGCTCTCCACGACCTCCTCAACATGGGAGTCCTCAAAGTGTGGCAGATCCTCGGCAGACTCCTGAAAATCAGCTTTACTGACTACTAAGCTATCGTGTAGGTCATCCCGGGAGGCGTGTATAATGTTATGTTAAAAGTAGACTTGACATTATTTTCCGTATCAAAATGTTATATACAGGGGGCAACTGATCCGCGCAGAAACAATGATTTATGATTACGTGAAATATTCAAATAATAAATATCATTAATAACGAATATTTGTATTAGTTACCTCACAAAACATCCCACTAATTCACCACCGCAGGAATACGGGATTTTATTGAATGCAAAACTAAAGACACCTAAGAAAAAATAGAATTCAAAACCTCAACCATGAAATATCGGGTTCAAAAATGTCAATTGTAAGGTTCCTCATTTACACAAGATTTGGCTTCCTGAAATCAAAATCCAAAGTTTTGATCTGCAACCAAATAGCATTTCCAGAAACCAATTTACTCCGACAATGATGACTTATATTTTTCTCTTTAATTGTGAAGCTTTCGTTATTAAAGTAAATTACATTTCAAGGATCACCATAAGAATTAAAAACATCATCAACGACTAAATTATAAACCCAAAACGAATACTACTACTACTACTACTAATAATAATAATAATAATAATAATAATAATAAAGCTTCATACTGTGGGGCTACAGAGCTCAAACATTCTCTACCATAAACAATGAATACACTTTCACAGTCAGAGGTTGTGACAGAACTACGACCTACCTCTATGATCACGACGACAAAATCCGTTGAGTGAGATCTTTTGGTCGCTCGTACGGGAAACACCTGCTTCCTGTGTCTTATTTTAAGTGGTCATAAAGAGTAAAAAGTAATTTATTCCTTGACAGCTACGTGGCTAAAAGATCCGTTTAATCACACCAAAGATAAACTAGAACATTCAGAAAGAGTTTTATTCACACGGCTGTAACAGTGGAAGAAATTATGGGTAACTTGTATAGACGGCATATTAGCAGTTTTCTCCTGTATATTGATATAAATTAATAAGTTGAAAAGCGGAATGACTTTAACGTAGCGATTATCATTTATATACACAAAGGGGCATTTTCTGTAAAGCATAGAAATACGAAAGGTTTGAATCTACTTTAAAAACTTATCTGCGCACTTTACAATAATTGCTGGATTACGGAACACCAGGACGTAGCTAAAGCAACCAAACTGATTAGCTGGTAGTCATGTTTTTACTTGACCAGGTGAACGTAGTTTTTGTGTGTGTGTGTGTGTGTGTGTGTGAAAAACATTTAATGTGTATATATATACTGTATGTAATAGCTCACGGGTTAATTGTTTACTCGTGCAACAAGAACGAGGGTTTGTCGCTGAGGTGGAACCAACTTCAGCAGATAAAAAGTATAGGGAGAGATTATAGACAAAATGGTTGGTAGTTGAGGACACAACCCCGATAATATTCAACACAATAGCGGCAGCTTGCGTTAAGGTGAACGTGCTAACACCTCTTTCACTGCGAGTTAAACTGAGAATAGAAATGAATCTCGTTGTTTTATGTATATCGCGTACAGTAACTACTTCTGGGAGGAGAGTGTTCTTTATCTCCGTGGTCGTCGGCAGTAACCGGGTCATGCCTTTGTTATTGTAAACGGCGTCATAAACATTTTTCCTTTAATATAGCTGGTGGTCTTATTGCTACTGTAGAGGTGTATTCATTATTGCCAAATATCGGATCTAAGGTGAGTCCCGAATATCAAAAGCATTTCTCGTCGTACTTTTCTTTCATCAGGGATCACCTTTGAACAGGGCCGGATTCAGGAGTGGGCAAAGTGGGCAGCTGCCCAGGGGCCTCCACATATCAGGGCTGGTCGACTTGAAACCACATGAATGACTCCAGTCATGTCTCACTTTTGTGTGTTTGTGTGTGTTGGGAATTTGTACACTATCAATAAATATACAGTTAATTAAAAATTGCTCAATGTTCTAATTTCCTCAATATAACTGCATATGGCTTCAAAATTCTCCAAAGAAGTGTTCAAATTTCAAAATTTTCCCGGGGGGCTTACAGCGCCCCCCGGAACTCCCAGATGTTTAGGCTCGCTTCACTCGCCACCGCACCCTCTTGGGTAGTTATAATGAGGGGGGCCTCCACAAAGAGGCTGCCCATGGGCCTCCACAGGTCTAAATCCGGCACTGCCTTTGAACCTATACTTTCCCGTCTGTTTGTTTGCAGTTGCAGAAATGAATAACTATATTTTTACCAACGTTTGACTTAGTAAAATCTCCTATTGTACGGTAGATAATATAAGTACAATACACTAAAGACCATAATACACGCACACACCAGGTCAGCCAGTACACACACACACACACACCAGATAACACTAGAATCTTCGGTGCGACCTTGAAGTGACCTCACGGTGTGAGCCTGGGTGTCTTCTGCAGCAGCATAGTAACCAAGAGACAATGAACATCCGAGCACACAAGGCAAAAAACCTCTTGTAAGTTGTATATTCTCCCCCTAAGAATAAGACTAGTGATATAAACAGTTTTTAAATAATGATCCCAGGTTAATCTATTTACTTCCTCTATAAGAAGATGCTTAAAGAAAGATCCAATGATTTTTAGATAGTTTAGTGTACGTATCAAAGAATGCTATATAGTCGATGGTTTAAAAAGTGTCAGAGAATATTAAAAAAATAGAGCATAAATGTGATTGTTCATCTTGTCATTTACTTTTCATGTATTTATAAAATCCGAAACATTATTAATAGCGGATAACCTTCAAATAATTGCATGTTGTTTAATTATATTAATATTCTGTACTATAATATATCAATATTTTTTATATACGCATTTAACAGCTACAGTTTCGGGTCAGCTGCATACAGTACTGCAGTATTTGTTGATACTAAATGCCAAATCTGTAGAGTCTTCAAGTCTTAACTGTATGTTACGTTCTATAGAAATTTATGGTTTATACGCTTACAGACCATCGTTGTTGAAGCCCAATAACAACATATCAATAACGAAATCAGGTGGTCCTATGTCATTACTGATCATCAACAATTGAGATCTTCAAGCGCATAAAGTAGGTTAATAAAAAAAACCTCGTTTTTGTGATTGGTGGAGATCAAGGTTTGGTCGTCACAGCTGTGTGTGTGACTGCATCAGGAGCTTCGTATGTTTGTGTCACCTTAACAGTTCACACTTATTTTTCTCAAGCACACACGCACACACACACACAGCTACCCTTTCATTAGCTATCCTGTTTCTTGTCTCTCCTCCAGTCTAGGAATTATCTATATCTACGTGTGATAAATAATACAAATATACGCCAACATCACCAACAACATCCAGAAGTACAATAAAACTGAATACACGTATATGAATTTCAGGCAAGTGGCACTTAAGATGTTTGTATCAATAAGACTAGTATGAAATCAAACGTTGTACATCTCTATTATATACTTTTATTATCAACGTAAGCGCCAAACATGAAGTGCTTATGAAACCGATCCACAATATGTCTGTCAAGGATGCAGGTGTCATGTCGCAGGCTTACAATTACCCTTATTTCTATTGTCAGGTCTACTTCAACTTAACCTAAATAACATGAATAAAACAAGTTCACCTTCAATAAATATCAAAAGGTAAAATAAGAAGCTAAGTCATTCAAAATCGGAAAAGTTGAACTAAATCTTCAAGGTGAACTCCCAAGTTTTTGTTGTTACGAATACAGTAAATAAAAAACTAACAGTACAGTAGTATAAGGTGAAAGTATCAGAATGAGAGACATACTGTGTGTGTGTGTGTAAAGACGCTTATAATGTGTCTATGAACCAAAATATCAGTGCCAGGCCATCTAAGAACTCGTGACTTTAAAAAAAAAAAACACTGAATTCATAGAAGCACGTGCACGAATATGCAGTATTTGTACAGTTCCAAAAACACTGTCGCATCAACCTTACTGATGCGAATACTATATTTAGTGTGGCAAAAGGCAATAGCTCTTGTGTAAAAAAAAGAGACATACGAGTCTACAGTCAATTTAACCAGTTTACAGTATATTTTCTTCAAGGAACTCACTCGTATCACCAGGTTGAGAGTGGTGAGAGCAAGGATTCTAATACTAGGGCGTCTGGTGAGTAAACTGCGAGAATCCTTGCTCCTTGGTGAGAGTGACCCGGTGAATCACAAGCATCGGCTAGTTGGCTATGCAGAAAGACGCGGGAAAAATATCGTACTACGTTTATCTTATCTATTTCATTCAATATGGAATAAATATTACCTATATGGGAGCAATAAAAATAACATTTAATTAATGAATAGCTTCTGAACCATGACCAGATCTCTGTAAACTCACTAGCCATGCAGTATCAAACATCCGAATGCTAACTTCAACACTTGATGGCAATTGATTTATATTACCTGTGAAAACCGATATGTTAGGATGGTTATGGATACCCACGCGCTTCTACCCACATGCTGTTCACTGTGTTTATTGAGGGAAACATATCAGCAATACCTACACGTTAATTTTGTCGACCCAAGTAATGAGCAGAAGAGTTTGGCTCCCACACACGCGCACACACTAACTTCTTGCCATATACAGCTGCCTGACACCACCACATAACAAGATCAACATACCCAAGAGATAAAACAAGTACATTAAATTTTTTTTCTCTTTCTACTACTACTACTGCTTGACTTCCATAATGATCACCGTTTTATAATGTGAACTGGGCGAGTACAGAATAAGTGAAACAATCTTAGTAGGCTGACGATGAGTGGCGAAAATTATAAAAAAAAAAAATCGCGTTAACCTTGACGACCAAACACTAACCACCTACTGAAATCTTTTATTTTTACTTCTACCCTCTTCGCCACTTATCGGCTTGTGAGTCACTAAGGTGTTCGGTCACATTCTGTTACGCACTGTTGGCAAGTACTGGCTCCTGAATATATCTGTACCTGCTCCAGTGTTGGTCAAATATTGATAATGAAACGGTTTATTTAGCCAGAAAAATACAGATGCAGAGTGAACAATAAAAACAATAATGACATGGCTGACCAAATTGAGAGCCTGAACTCTCTTTGTGGCCTTTAAACAGCTCACACTCGGTGCCGTCACAACACTCTCGAGCAGATTGTTCCTAGTCTACAATTCTCACTCCGAAAAAGTTTGCCCTCACAGTTTTATGGATTTGCGCCCCATCGACTTTTTAGTATAAATAAGCGCGCGCGCGCACACACACAAACACACGCCAGAAGTTACTATTTCATTTAGGAAAGGAATGGAACCAGTGTTAAACAGAGGTGAACAGTAGTGAACAGTGCTTAAGTCAGTGAGAACAACTCAACAGTAACAGTCGCACCCAAGTTAACCTTCACACAGTGAGGTCCCAGGTACCCAGTGATAATGGCCCGTGAGACCCAACAACCAGCGATGTGTTAACCCGTCTACGATAGGAAGGCCTGGGACCACACCTCACTCATATAACACCGTCTGTGAGGGAATTACTTCACCACGTGAGGCCCCGCATAACACCGTCTGTGAGGGAATTACTACACCACGTGAGGCCCCGCATAACACCATCTGTGAGGGAATTACTACACCACGTGAGGCCCCTCATAACACCATCTGTGAGGGAATTACATAACACCATCTGTGAGGGAATTACTACACCACGTGAGGCCCCTCATAACACCATCTGTGAGGGAATTACTACACCACGTGAGGCCCCTCATAACACCATCTGTGAGGGAACTACTACACCACGTGAGTTCCTCCTAACACCATCTGGAAGGGAGTTACTACCCTACGTGTTTGCTGTTCAACACCTACATTAATCTGTATGTTCACTGTATGTTCCTTTACCTTTCTCTAATGAAGGCTTTTGTTAAACCACCAATGTATGTAATAAGTCATTTATGTCCAATGTATATTTTCAGCCTTCGGGCTGCAGAACTTTTTCAATAAACCGTTTATTATTATTATTATTATTATTACACACACACACACACACACACACAAACACACGTGTGTGTGCGTGTGTGTGTGTGTGTGTCGCTAAACAGTGATAATTGCCAATTAAGTTTTAAAAAGCAACTGGCGTTTATGTTAAATAAGGATAACTTTTCTTTTTATTGCTACAACTTAAGGACAATTATTTCGTATGCGGTAAATTTGCTATATTTCAATAATATATCGTTTATCATTTCTACATAGCCTGACACTTGGTTAGGTAAGGTTTTATTTTAAACTATTGATCTAAATGTATTATTATATCCCTGCAGACACGTGTGCATAACGGTAAAAAACCTGCAGATTATAGTAATAATACAAATTGTTGGAGAACATAAGAACATAAGAAAATAAGCAGTCTGCAATAGGCCGGTTGGCCTGTGCATGGCAGCTCCTGTCGAGAGTTACTACCACTCTCTATCATCCATGAATCTATCTAGCCTCCTTTTGAAACTTTCCAGAGTTCCCGCACTTACTACAAAGTTGCTAAGCTTGTTCCACTCGTCCACCACCCTATTTGTGAACCAGTTTCTTCCTATCTCCCTCCTAAACCTAAACTTATCCAACTTGAATCCGTTGCTCCGAGTCCTATCCTGCTCGGATATTATAAGAACTTTATCTATATCCCCTTTATTGATTCCTTTCACCCACTTAAATACTTCTATCATATTTCCCCGCACTCTTCGTCTTTCTAGGGAATGCAAGTTAAGTTTCTTTAACCTATCCTGATTAGAGTTCTACTGAGGAAATAGTATATAGAATACCTCAAGGACACCTGGCGGCACAAAACCTAACGCCTGAGTGAGGGGGGAAGGGGGCGCTTGCTAGACAGTAAAGTTTAGTGTACTTCCTCGTTGACTGGCAGTCAGGCAAGAGCAGACCGCCAGTGCTCCAGCTTCCCTCTGTGACGACACAACGAGTAAGTTCTCCCCACTCTATGATTCTGAAAGCTTGTGTGTACGCGATGTGTCAGTCATGTGTGTAGCATTATGTGCCTGTAGAAAAACCCACATAAGAGTGTTTCATTAAAGACAAATTTAGACGTATTTCAGCGTCATTTTACTTGGTTATCAAGTGAAACATTTATTGTAAGTTTGAACACGAGTGGTGGTGGCCGGCTGTGGTATTAGAAATGTGTGTTATTAGCTGCAAGTTGTTGTAATCACCGTTGATACGAATGAAAATAATTATAACTGGTTCCAAGCACATATAAGTAATGCCTCTCTCAACGACAACTGCCCACAGCATCGTTCTAATGTTTGTCTGAACAGTAAAGTGATTTGACAATAATTAAGGGAACATTTCGAATCATGTGAAAACTGTAGTTAAATATGAATCACCTCAAGCATTGTCCCCCGTCAGTTTATTTCACCTTAAGATTAATCACCTCAACGTTAACCACATCTAATGTAACCGAACCTAACTCTAACCTTACGTAACCTAGCCCTAACTTTACCTAATGTAACCTACCCGTAACCTTACCTAATTTAACCAAACTTTAACCTTAACCTAATCTACCCCCCTCCCCTTGGCAGTGTTAGGGTGTTTAATCTTCAGGTGATCATTTATCAACACCTCACCTGGGACTGAAGCACGAGGTGGGTCAGGTATAAGTGACACCACGCCCAGGGGGGGGAGTGTCGGGTGAACCCTTTTGGGGAGAGGATGCCAGAAAGGTCATAACGGTGAATAAGGACGAAATTGTTGTTCCCTGGAGGAAATGTCTTAAGGATCGGTTGACACTTCATTTACACAACATTACAATAACCTGGAACTTGAGAAAAAGTTCCATTGTCAAGTTTTGGTATTTACTGACTCGTACAACAGAGGATGTTACGATATCGGATTGTTAGTGACGTGGAGGATACGTCGCCTAGTCTAAGTAACCTAACGTAACGTATAAAAAAATAATGGTTGCCTCTCGTGATCGAGGATAACCGGTCCAAGGGCCACCGAGGCGTGAATTTGTTTAAAATGTAGGAGCTGTCGCCAACACAACAACCACACCCTTAGTTAGCTGCATGACCCAGTGTCAAGGAATAATCCGAGAAGACCGGACAATTTGTCAACTGCACTGGCTAACCATTAATCCGGAACACAATCCGCAAATTGATTAACATCCAGGTCCCCAATTAGTGCTGGGTAGACAGAGGCAAATGGCGTAAAGAAACTTGCCCGGGGTTCGAACCTGGGTCCACTCGCTTGCGAGGCGAGCATGCTGACCATTAAGCCACAGGTGGCCTACGTAATGTATAACGTACCTAGCATAACATTACCTAAATTAACCTTATGTAACTTACCCTAACCTAATCTAGACTTGGAGGATACTTAACCTAACCTAACCGAACCTGTTTTCAACCATCAGGACAAAAACATTGCCATATCATATGGTTTATGACACCGTTAAACAAAACAAAAAAGAAGAGAGAACTGTGGTATTTATACTGGATACCAAACACAACTGAGTCTCAAAAATGATATGACGTGTATAAAATTCACGAGTTTCACCATGATGCACCAGGGTCAACAAGAAGATAAAAGTCATCACGCCGCTATCCTGTCTTTTCACGGGATTAGATTTACGAATGAACAAGTTGAAAATTAAATAAATATTCTAGTAAGTTCAAAAGTTATAGTGTCGAAGATTGCCAAGATAAGTAAATTATAATAAACTATGAAAATAATACCTCGTTCCTGTATCTGTGTACCCCACCGTTGTGTGTGTGTGTGCGCGGGCAAGAAATTATCTTAGAGATACAGTGTGATGCTATAAGGTGTCTCTCTTTACAGGTACAGTGTGTGTGTGTGTGGTACAGATATGGGGAAGTCACTACTGGAGCGTGTGGGTACTCTCTTGTACTTCGTCACCCCCAATGCCACCTCCTTCAGCAAAGTTGACCAAGTCCCTAACTACGTAAATGAGGTAAGTTTACACATTTAGTTTACAAGACGCAACAAAACAAACATTGGGTAGACTAGTAATAAGCACTAATATAGTTAAACCCACAGGGCGGAATCTATAACCCTCGCTTCGCAGGGTAAAAACAATACACGCTTCAATACCACGCGGTAATTTTATTTAGGGTACTGAAGCAACATTTCTAACCTTTTTCTTCATGTATGTTTTTTATAGCTTATGTAAGGCGTGACCGTGGGGAAGGGGTTAGCGATCATGTTTTATTTTTTCTGCTTAACGACTGTGGACTCACAAAACTAGTCTCCACTTAAGCGATAAAAAATACACCCAGGAAATACTTATGCATAACCTCACTGCCAATGAGGAACGATTCTGATTCAAATTACAATTATTCTGCCAGTTCTTTTTTTCATAGCTATTATTAATCAATTAAAAAATATTGTATAGCTAATAGACGGTAATCCTATATTGCCAATGCCACTGTGAGCTCTATATACCAACAGTGTATTGTTTCGCCTCGATAACAATGAAACGAAAAACACTGACGTAATCTTCGGGAACCCGGACCCAGGCTAGCGTGACAGTCACAGTCAATCCACTCTGCTCTCCTCAGTAACTTCCATATTTACAAGGGTTTTTCTACTGAGCTCCTGATCTGTCATACTCAACACTCCTTCCCGGGATCACTAACGATAAAACAACAACTAAGGCTCAAGTGAACTTATCGTGCGTATCTCCACTGATTCACTTCTGAAGAAAACAGGGATGGAGTCAGTTTTTGTCTTGGGTCAACTGAAGGACAAAATAATTAGGTTTTGTCGTAATTTACCACAGAACATAAAACAAAAATTGCAGTGCAAGTTTTTGCCATAATCCTTCCGTGTAGTCAGGTGTTAAAAAGGAGGGGGGGGGGGGCATTCCGCCATGGCTCCCCCTTTTCTTACAAAAAAATATGGATGGAAATCAAACAACCCTTTTTTCGAGGCTTGCCCCCCCCCCCCCTTTCCAGAATCTTTTGTACCCTACACTTACACCTTACAAAATTTTTGACCAAAATATACTTTTTTCTCAGAATTCAAATTTAAGGGGTCTAACTAATGTACTTTCAGAATAACACACAAACCCTAAATCACACCTTGGAAACCCATAGTTGATGAGTAATTAGCATTGAAAAATGTCAGTAAAATATTTCAAGGGTCATTTTGGCCACTAATTACTCTGCAATCGAATCTTGGACCACGTATCCATAATCAGCAAGCTCAGGAGTACCCATGCTGTGATTTTCAGCTAAATCTAATTTTTGGCCCAAAACCACCAAAAATATAAGTCTTACACCAGTGGTGTCAAACTCAAACCTTTCGAGGGCCAATTCTTATTTTAGTTGCCCTCTTCAGGGCCAACACAAGTGCTAAATCACATATTTGCAGGATTGAAGTTTACAGCTTCACACATTGCTTTACCTGGCTTACCAGGAATACCTCATTTGGGTTTGTCTGATCTTAAGTATGTAAAATTCATTTTACTGAATAAACATGATTATATCTATTTCTTTCATAATTTCACGGGATGATAAATTTTACCGTCATCCCGCGGGCCACACCTGACCATCCCAAGGGCCACATTTGGCCCGCGGGCCATGAGTTTGACACCCCTGCCCTACAGCATCCGGTCAATACGTTTTTATCCCACGAGTACTTACATCACCGTCAACCAGCCAGTAGACTACGGCTCACACGACGGATAGAAGTCCTCGCCTTTGTAAGTTGTGCATCTACAAGTAACCATTTTTAGCATTAATATTATTCTCACTTCTCTTAAGCTTAGCCCAAAGATAATTAATACTATAAGTACTTTTTTACAGCGGATGAAAAGAGAATTTCTATAATTTTTAAAAGTTGAAATTTTCTAAAACGAGGAAATGATTATTTTCTGAAAGATTTCAAGTGTGAAGCTCGTTCATATCCCAACTACGAACTTTAAAAGATAAATGACTCTAATTACAGTATATATATTATTGTGGTGTTAAATAATTTCAAACTGTGTGTGTGTGTGTGTGTGTGTGTGTGTGTGTGTGGTGTGTGTGTGTGTGTGTGTGTGTGTGTGTGTGTGTGTGTGTGTGTGGGTGTGTGTGTGTGTGTGTGTGTGTGTGGTTTATGAATAAACAAACACGGGCTCGCGTTGCATCCTAAACAACTACCACCAGAACTAGTAAAAACAGGATAAGGGCTACATTCATCTCTGAAAGTAATGCGTCTTGACGTAGACTTCTCGCAAACTGTTCTTGCCCCCAAAACAACAAAAACTAAAGGACATGGAATAAAAAATATATAAATCACTGAGCTTGATTCCTTCTGCACTCTCTCGTTAGAATATAAAAAGTCAATGAAAACAATACTGCAATGAACTTGATGATATATATTCATACCCCCAAAGCTTAAGCACACTTACAGTATTCTTTGTTCAAGGCAGTTCCTTTGTTCGTCTTCTTCATCGTGGTGGAGTTTGTGGTGCGTTACTTGGTGGGTCAACCTGCCAGGATCAATGAGGCTTTCTCCTCCCTTGGCGTTGGCATTCTTCACGAGGCTACAGGGTAAGAGTGTGTGTGTGTATATATATAACAATAAAACAGCCGTTTTGTTACTTCTAATACATATTAAACACACCAGGTTAATGATAAAGGCATCTTACCAATATCCCAAGCTTTACAGAACGGATAATAAAGATATCAAGTAGGATCACTACAGCCTAATGTGATGATGCACTGTTCTCATTTGCAGATTCATATCCTCGTGGGTGGTGTTGTTAGGCTACCAGTGGCTCTACCAGTACCGCATCTGGGACCTGCCTTGGAATTCTCCGTACACGTGGTTCGGCGCCTTAATTCTCGTTGACTTCTGCTACTACTGGATTCATCGAGCAAATCATGGTATGTATGAAAGGGGCTGTGTTATGTGGAATCCTATGGGAACATTTTACGTAATACCGGCATGTATTCTACTCTAGCTAGCTTTATTTCCTAGCGTCATTTACAAGTTGTTGTTTATTAAAAGAGTAAATATCTAGAGCACTCATTAACTGACCTATTTTCCTCACGACCAGAGCTAAATATCTTGTGGGCAGTGCATCAGATCCACCATTCGTCAGAAGACTACAACCTGGCAACATCAGTGCGTCTTTCAGTGCTACAACGCGCCGGGCACTTTGGTTTTTATCACCCCCTGGCGCTGATAGGCTTCCCAGTATCTATCGTCGTCGCTCACACAGCCTTCAATTACTTATTCCAGTTCTGGGTACACACAGAACATGTGGGAACTCTTGGCCCGATAGGCTGGATCTTCATGACGCCATCCTACCATCGAGTTCACCACGGTAAGTGTGCTGAAGGGCTCGGCTCTCCGTGCTGGCGAAAAGTGAGGAACTTGGCGACTGAAACAGCGTAAACTAAATTCTAATCTCAAATTTCATAAGTTTGTGAAGATTTATATTCTTGTATCACTGTGATGTTTAGGAAATACGATTTATCGTAGGACGGAAGCCAAAATGCTGCATAAGTGAACTTTTCTTTATTTGTTCATGATTTTATTTTTTCCGTAAATTTTCTATCGTTTATGTAATTTGTTTAATGTTAAGATATGTTTCATTGTGCACATAACCAGTGTGTAGAAAAGAAACATTAAACTTGGACGGGGTATATCTCAAAAGGCCATTATATTTTTCACCACAACATCAAAGTGTTGATTTGCCTCCTACTGCTGGAAATAAGTTTCTTTAGTTGCTGTTACTAAGTAGTGTTGTTCCCCAGGGTCAAACAAGTGGTGCCTGGACAAGAACTACGCCAGTGTGTTCGTCATCTGGGACCGTATCTTCGGCACCTTTGAGCCCGAGAGAGACAACGAGGTGATAGTGTACGGTCTTACTGAGCAGCCCCAGACCCACAATGTCCTCTGGCACGAGGTTTGTAACATCTCTACTCCCTCTACGGTATAGTATATTGTTATGAATTATGAAACTTTACAGTTAACTCAGTTATCGCCATTGTTTACCTGTACACATTATACGAAAGAAGAATTTTTTAACTTCCTGACGCTGACTACTGATGTCCACTAATCCTTATAAAAACGCAGTTCTCTCCCATTTTTATATGGAGTGAGTCAAGGAGTACAAAACCTGAGACAGTACATACATACATACATTCATACATACATACATACATACATACACTAAGGGTCAGTTTTCAGCAAGTCAGAACTTTAATTAACCAAACTTTACCCTCGTCACTACATAATAGGAGTATGGGTGACAAATTAGTGTACAGTACATAAAAAATACTAATCAGTTAAATGTCAGGAGTTAAACTTGCACGTACTGTACTTGATAATAAAGAAAACGTTAGATGGCTCTTGAAAATAACAAGAACAGCTCAATGTTCCATGTTCAGATATTGTATTATTATAGCAATCTCCGGTGTAGGCATTTGCCACTTTTTACACAGCTTATTGCAGTTATCCTTCCTTTCATATACAGTGCTTGGAATTATCTACAACTTTAATAATACAGATTAAAGTGATATTTCTAACTTTGCACACGTAGAGCCAATTGTTTATAGTATACGTATTTAGCACAGTACATTTGGCGATATATTTCGCCTAACAAAGCCAAAAAGCTCGAATTTCATGAAACTTGTTCTTAAATGAACAAAACCAGGAACGGCATTAAGTTAACAATGAAAGTGACCCAAAAATGTTATAAGGATGATTTTCGTGGCTAAGCTCAAAACTGGGCTTGACTTATTAATACCTAAAACAATAGATTACAGCGAATATTTTATTTAGTTTACCACACTACAAACCCTAACTGAATTTTATTAACCTGTTAATGAAAAAATAAACTTCAACAGTCTATATATCAGGTGCCTCAAAGAGAGCTCAGGTTCTCAACTGGCTCAGTCATGTTATTATTATCCACTCTGTGTCTGTGTTTTTCTGGCTAAATAAACTGTTTCAATTCAATTCAAAACAGTTCTTCTACTTCGGTGAGATATATAAAAAGGCCAGAAGTATGAATACATGGAGAGACTCCCTGAAGGCCGTGTTCTATGGACCTGGCTGGATCCCTGGAGCACCCCGCCTGGGGGACCCTGACACCTTCCCCGACGTGAAAGCTCCCAGAGCCAAATACGACCCCCAACTGCCCCTCTGGCAGGTTGTGTATGTCACCATTCACTTGATACTGGCGCTGCTGGCTCAACAACTGATGGTTGTACGCTTCACGGTAAGACATTTTTCTTATCTTCCTTTCTCTACATGTATTCTGCTGTACTGGTTGTCAGGATCAGATAATACAACTCTAAAACAACTAATTTTGTTGCGAATGCCACCAACTATACTGTATTTTCACATTCCCCTCCCCCTTTCACATCCCATAATACGGCCACGATTTTTATCATTGGTATTCGCGAATTTTACGGTGTACATAAAGCCACAACTTTTGATGGCTTCCTCACAACGATTGATACGTAAATGGTAATTGTTAAAGTCTAATCAATCTACCACACCAAATGTCAAGGAAGTTTCTCACCGTAGAGTTTGCTTTTGCTTAACACAACCAAAATTAACCGAGTCAAATATTGTAATGATTCACTGCAGCTCGTCTTGATTACATCTGCCTCCTCGTGAAGTAATGTTTACATCAATCTGCTATGGGGGATTGTGGGGTTCGGACAAAACCCCCTTGGGTTAGGTTAGGTTTGTTCAAGGTTTTTTTTGTCTTACACTCGGGGCATTGTATTAACCTTTTTGTCAAGTGCTTAACTCCTTTTAATCTGGACTTTATTCTGCAAATTGATAATGATGGCTTTAAAGTTATGTAAGTGGAAAGAATTTATTTGATCAATCACTTACTTAATATATTATTCCTTGTAAGTACGAATAGTGTTATCTAGTTTTCTTTTGTGTGGTTTAGTACATTCTCTTTGGGGTTTTTTTACTGTCCTTTAACCTTCAATAATTTCTAGCATCACTTTATTTAACAATACAAAAGTGTTTCATTAATTATATCAGGTATTTAGGCGAATAAAGCCTGTATTTCATATACTTAAACCTACCAGTCACTAAAAGAACCAAGCTTCATATTTGAACAGTCTAAGTAAGTTACATACTAAAGCAGTCCAAGCAAGTTTTATATTTAAACATTCTCAGTTTTACAGTATAGTGACTCACAGTAACTGATCTTAAACTCTTAACCCTCAGACGTCTTCATGGTCGACGGTGTTCGCGTTCCAGCTGTTTATATTCTCCGCTGTGGGTGTGACGTCCGCCTTATACGATGGGTGGCGGTGGGCCCCTGCAGCTGAGGCCGCCCGGTGCGCTGCCTTCACCACGTACGCCTTAAGCACACCCATCACTGCTGTCCCTACTGTAGACAACACCCTCGTGTTCTCTTTTGTTATCTTCTTTATATTTTGGACGAGGCGAGGACTAAATCGTCTGAGCTCCAACATTAATACAAACAAGATAAAGTGAGGGTTACCTAGGTCTGTGTACCAGCTGAAGGCAGAGTGACAAGGACAACTATGTTGCAGAGAAAACAATTACCGTTACAACGGTGCAGCTGAAAAAGTGACAAGATCACAGCGACTACTCCACATCATGTTACCCTTAAACTGCAAGGCCATATTAATGGTTAAAACTAGTGTGATAAATATTCTAATAACCTGATTTCATTAACTAAATCAACCTTTTTACAAAGAATTTGTTGAAAAAAAAATGGAAGAAAAATGTATGATGATAAGTGTGTGTGTGTGTGTGTGTCGTGGGACTAAACATTGATATCTACAGACCTGAAACTAATTGCATACTAAAGGGACCCTGGGGTGTGTACCTCGGTGTTATATTTAGCTCAAATAAAAAGAAAAAGAAAATAAATGGTTACAGGGAGTCATCCAATCAGTACATTAACATTTCCATCACTATCAACACCCACTACTCGAGGAGCGACCTTCTGATCCTCCACTTGAACGTGATATTGTAGCGGATGTAGTGTACTGGAGATTATAAAGTGTATTTGGTAGTTTAATTCATGAAGTGTAAATGATACTGCTGTTGATGTAGTGTAGATGATACTGTATGTAGTGTAGTGTAAATTATATTGTAGTTAGTGCAATGTAGATTATATTGTAGTTAGTGTATTGTATAGATACTGTAACTAATAGGGTAGTTACGGACAAAGGCTACGAGCTCCCCCCCATCAAGAAACAATTCTGGCAACCCTGAGTTCTCCAGCTAGTGACTACATTAAAACACGATTACTTTAAACCCTAAAGGATAAAATGTGAAACATAAAACCTTCATGCCAAACTTCCATTTTTCAATCATACAAAATATATGGTGCGTATATGCAACGTTAAGTTTCTCGCTCTATACCGCATGTTGTGTACATTTGCGTACATTTGTACACATACTAGTGGACACATACTGCTGTAAATAGTTCACCTTAATAAACTTTACACCAGTGAAGCACTCATTTTATCATTAACATGCTATTTAGTTACTACAAGTATAATAAACTTATATTAAAAAACTAACATTGTGAAACCAAATAATTATATTATTACTGTAATACGACTACGTATTTCAGATCCGTTTTGAACCAGTTATAGACTTGCCTGTAAAAGTCCACTGTACCTGTACTTAAACAGAAACCTGTGATTATATTTTTCTTTATGAATATATTTTCTAATTCTAATAAGTTATTATTAATATCCAGCCAAAGCGATATAATTATTCGTATGAAAACTAGTAAGAACCTAAAGCAGATACTATTATCAAAATAAACAAAACACTCATTAATTTGTGGCTCAGAAGATAAAACTATTTTTTGGGGGGTAAACGTTTCATATTCGTATTTATTACACTACATTAACCAAGATGTTAACATTTAAGAAGGAAACTAACACGGAGGGCGCCAAGTAATTCTTACGACTCTCCCTTAATATTTTTTTTAGTAACTTACTGTACATTTTCTCGTACACGTGTGACGGTTTTGGGGTTTGACAAGTTTCCTAGATTACACGCACCTCAAACTTGCTTAAGCAGGATGCAAAGTGGATTTCTGGACATCCACACTGGCTTACAGTGCATCAAATTTCACTACACATTCTACATGATCGTGCCTAATGTATCAATTCGCTTAACTACCATGGAGTTTTCTAACTTATTTATACCCAATGCCCTCTGAAGCACTGAAGCTAACCTAACTTACCAAACCTAACCCAACTTAATTCGTGATTGAGGGTGATAAAAGCCTAGTTTCTTACACGGTTTATTCAATGACATTATTAATTGTTTGCATGTGTACAGAGCCACTCAGGCATGACAACGCATAAACTATCATACACACGATAATAAGGAATACAATCGTAACACAGCATCATCTGACCTGTCTTCCAGTTGTCGCCAGAGACTAGTGTTGCCTCCCCTCAAAACATTAAGTATACTAATAGCAAATTCCTTACAGTCTGGTTATCCATGTATAAATCATGCTAAAATCAATTTTTTAATATTTTTGTATTATGTGCATTTAAGGTTGTACAGGGGACCACACACACACAAGCGACCAAAATATAGTTTTAAGAAAATTACTATAGCTTCCCATTGTCGTGAGAGTTTTCTGTAAGATATGAACACCGTATGACCATTTGCAAATTTTATTTACATAATTAGACTATACCCCCTCCCCCCCTCCCCTCGAAATACTGTATGTCCGTTTTCTATTGGGGAATATTACAGCTATATAGTGAATGAGAAAGATTGTTTTGTTTTGTTTTCTAAGGAAGTTATATTTTGATAAGAAGTAGTTGGCAACTCTTGGCTCAGCGTCAGTGTTAGGTGGGACTGACATAAATAGCTTCCATCACAAACTCTCGGTCCGATTTTCCAAAGTTCTCAACTTAATCGTGCGGAGGAAAGGCAAGAAAGCTCTGGCACAACCGTTCAGGAGCAAGAAGCCACCAGGAGCAAAATACAGACATCTGACACATCCAGCATTCACCCCCCCCCCACCACCAAGAGGCATATACTGTACGAGTCCTATAGTCAAACAGGGAGATGGCCACTCCACAAATAATAGGCTGGTGAGTTTGACCATCATAGTGCGTAAAGTTTTGTGGAGAATTATACGCGATCCCATGATGAAACATCTAGGAAACAACAAAAGTGAGGTGCTTCCCTGTTTTGAGTACTGTCTGGTCCTCAAGATATGCCAGAGACTGTCAGTTGATTGAAAACGTCCAAAGGAGGGCCACCAGACTGGTGCCTGCACTACACACCTCAGGTAACCAGAGAGATTAAAACGCTTGCAATTGCCTCGCTTATACTATAGGCGGGCAAGAAATCTATAAACACCTCAGAGTACATTACTCAGTAGTATTTATACCTGGAGCTGGCAGATGCCCGCCCCACTAAAGTGAGTTTTTCCCAGCTTAGAAGAGATGTCCCGCCCCCTCCTCATATGTTACAGCTAATTGGCTGTTGCAAATCTGTCCGATTTTAGCTGAATCATGATCACTAGCATCGTCTTTACCTCCTGGTCAAGGTTGTTTTTTAAGTCCATGCTGTTTTTTTAGTTTTTTTTTTTCTGGTGAGTTGCCAGCGTTAACCTTACACTTGAGGTTGCTCCATGCTGTTTTAATTGTAGTTTTCTTTTTTGGTCCGCCCTGTACAAAAACACGCTGAACGATGTATTCTCCTGCCCGGCCTGGATGAAGCCGAGGTTATTTACTACCCATAAATCTAATGAACAGTGGAAAAAGTTACCACTATAGATATATATTGATGAATTAAACTGAGACACTTATGATGCAGTCACAGAAAAAAGCAAGTAGGCTACTATAAGAGTTAATGATAAACTGCACTAACAAATACACCGTGTAGGAACCTTGCATGCAGTAAAGAGTGTACCGAGCATATGAAGTTGTTCCAAATAAAACTTATCACCATCGCCAAAGACAGTGGAGGCGGATGAACTTCACTGTCGGTAAGATTTGTAACTGCACTCAATCAAAACAATTTATTGTATTGGCTGCCTGTAAAGCTACTGTATTTGTACTTTACACTGTACCTTGGTCTGTAACTGTGCTTATGTTTTTTAATAAAGTTTGATTCTGAGTGAAGGTATCTTAATATAACCTAAACATCCTCAAGATTTCGAGTGAAATAACTGTCGTACTAGCAACAATAAACACACTAAACCTCCATTACGTTATATTTAGGAAAACAGAACATAAACATTTACATCTACATGAGCCAGATGTCGCTGGCTCCATATGAGACAAGGTGTGTTTCTTTCACTCCATTCATGTTATAAAATACAGTTTGTTATCAATCACACCAATAAAAGATCAAATATAAAATGGTTATATACAGTAACTTACATAATTATGTACAGTATTTACTTCATAACTTCTGGGTGAAGATATCTAACATAGAACTACTTGACAGGAGATGATAACTACAGGAACCTGAATTTAGATGACGGAAAATGACGGTAACAAGTGTACTGAAAATGAAACAATAAGAGATGGAATGTTTAACTAATACTATACGAACAAACAACTAACTGGGGACCTTTTATACCACCTGATAATGTGAAGTCGTGAAAGCAGCTGTCGTGATTTTTTCCCTCGTGTTTTTCTGTTCCTCCCTGGTCAGCAAAAACAAGTTTATCTTAAAAAAAAAAACTCACCTGGAACCAGATGACCTTAAGGTGTTCAGTGTTCAATAAGGCAGTGTTAATTTACAGCATTATCATCCCCAGAACCAAACAAGAGTTTTAAAAACAATATTTTTGGGTAGTTTAATGATAATAAATACCTGTAGGTTCTCAAATTTCGTATATGGGATTGAATCTAACTATCTGAGCATCACAGACCTGTTACCTAATGTGAGATGGCGGTGCGAAATCCCGGAAATTCTCGAGGAAAATTGTCTTCCTAACTAGTTAAGTCTCAGATCCTAGGGAAAAGGTGTTAACTTTATGTTTGTGGTTCATTCTAGACCGATTTTTTCCAAGGAAGCCGATAGTGCCAACTTATTTTTTGTTATAAAAGATGCCCAAAATGCCCACCTCTTTCAGGGGCATCTTAAATACTGGCCGATTTGAGACACTGAAGTGACCATTTTTTATGTATGCCCAGTTAAATACCAACGATTGTTTAAACCCAAAATGGCAGCCAAAATAGTGAGATTTTTTAATAAAACATTTTAAACTGGCTGGTAAAATCGATACCAGATCCCCTTCTCCTATGATTCTCCAGATTTTTTTATTCTACATAACAATAATATCAATATTACTTAAGGTACCCAAATTAGATTAACAAAATACAATGATTTCTCAAAACTTAAAGTGGTTGCCAACTTGTGATTTTCCTTCTATATAATGGTCCCACTTTCCTCGTAATTACCTTTTATTTCAGGTGCTTGGTATAGATCTAACAAGTGAATGTGGACAAGAAGTCTCCAGCATCTTCACTATAGTAAGATATCCGTCCAACTACCCGAGCCAACCTCTAATCATCCGTTGTTCACCTTGGACGAATTACAGGCTAATTTGCTTCACTATATGTCAGTAGAATTTGAAGAAGCAAATATGAAAAGATATCTGGTTGAGAATAATTTAAATATTGAGAGTCTGTCACCATAAACTAACAACACTATAGGCATTATTTGAGAACTGCAAAGTTTGAAAGTGAGAAGCATAAATAAGGGGACAGATACAGTATTTAAACCCATTATGTGTAAATAGGGTTATCAAGTTACAGGCTGCATACACAGTGTCATAGTTGGAACCAAAGATATGTTTACATAATCCACGGGGTATTTAGTTTTTCGAGAACGAGTGTTTATTATAATTGGCAAGGAAAAATTTAAGAATCAATGAAATATTACTCACGAAATCTCATAATATACCAGGAAACCCCAAGTCCCTGGAGGAATGAACAGGAGAAGCGCGTCTCAAACACCCAGTGGAGAGTCGAGATGTTAAAAGATAATGCCAACACTCCGACTGACATGACATGCAGTATTGTATCTATACTCAAGGCCATCCACACCCATATGAATGTTGTTTAGCATCTGCTTATCAACAATTACACAGGACTCTTGCTAGCCAACAGTCTAGTGGAGGATGGGGCGGGATAACTAATGTAATGATATTCGTAGACCGTTGCTATAGAAACCGCAATTTAAGTCATTTCTAATATTAAAGAAATCTTTTTATTTCGTCTCACAACATATCTTTACGGACCTGAATACAATACACCCTTTCGCTGTACTGTGTACGTTTGAATTACCAGCCAACATTGGTGTAATGATTGTTTATCAGACCCAAGCTTACTGCCCAGAGAAGAACAACACCAAACAATAACAGGATGCGCAGGTGTACACCCGCGCTAGTTGATTACAGATTGCCCACGAGGGGGCTAGTTAATTTGGCAGTGACCTTGATCTGACCCAACAGAGGTTTAGATCACAAAGGGAACCAGAGTTCTCAGTTCACCTGACCAAACAAGCTGGTCTAGACCAGGGTTGCGGCAGGAGTGGTACCAGGAGTCAGGTAAACGTCAGGTCAGGCAACAGTTCTTCTCTCTTCTTGGTCGGCTTGTTTCAATGGTTTCTTGGGTTATATTTTATTTGTCTGTCTTCTGCTATGGAGACCTTGTTAGGATGAAGATCTTCTTTTCCTCTTCCTTTTGCTGGCTTGAACCGTCCACTCGCGATTATCTAGGTAGATTAATATAACCTTTTCTTTTCTATTTTTAACTTATTTTGACTCTTATTTTTTCGCCCCTTAGGCCCCGTTGTGGATCGATGACCTGACCTGTGCCCGGGTGGGATATTCCCCATAAAAAATATATCTGGTGAAGGGCCACCATTAATCCCCCCCCCCCATGAACTAGTAAAATAATGCTGTAACGCGCATTTGTGTTTTATATACTACACTAGTCTTGTACTGAGCCTGTGTTAATATGTTATATTATCTTTACATCCTCGAGTCACGCTACCAACCTTCCTCACTCTACAACCCTACTACTATACTATAAATTCTTACCTTACCTCTTCATATGAGTTAACTCCAGTATACAGGTATTGGGAAGCCCCTCTATTATAATCTTGGCCAAGACCTTGCATGTTATTCATACGTATTCATGGCAGCACATTATGTTGCGTATCAAATATCGTAAGTGCGTGTAGTTGCCACCATCTGCGCCTACACTCGCATCCGCACCCACCATTCCTTGTCTGTGTGTCGATTAGGAAATATTCCGCTGAACTACTTCCACCCCCTAAAAAAATAACAATAAATAAATCATAGTCAACTACCACGAGTCTATATCAGGGTTACAGTCCAACTCGGCCCATTGCCAACTCAGACCATCTCGGATAACTAACTCGGGCCACTTAGGATTACGAAGTCGGACTAAAAGGTAAAAATAAAAGTTTACACATTTTTGCATGAATGATAAAAGTACAATGATAAAAAGCAACATAGATTACAAGGGGGGATTGGTTTGTTGTTATTTATCTTTTCATTCTATGTTATTAATATATTAATGTACATATGTGAAATTTTGATATTTTTTCTTATATATATATATATATATATATATATATATATATATATATATATATATATATATATATATATATATATATATATTATATTTAGTTCACAATTAAGATCACTTTACCTGGAGACCTGACAACCTCACAAAATATGACAGTTAAGGATGACCTGACCACGAGAGGTCGCCAAAGATGCATCCACTTTGTTAATGAACTTATCAAACAATTGCGTAACCGCTTGTCGGATAATGTTAGTATATTACGGTCAATGGCATCACTAAGTTCAGGTGAATGTGTACAACCAATAAAACAAGGGATTCTGGACTTGGCAAAGATCTTTGTTAGTTATGCCGCTACTCTTACGCGCATAGACTTTTAATGGAGGAAATTGCATCACACTGTGGAAGCAAGACTCAGACACAACAACGTTGGGTAGTCACTGAGTATAAGGATGCCACAGGAGAAAATCCTTATAGTGATCTTACTGACCTAGCTCTAACTGTGCTGTCACTGCCACATTCTAATGCCGATGTTGAACGAGTGCTCAGTCAGATGAACCTCATAAAGTCTAAACTTCGTAACAAAATGAGTGATGGAACTATGAAAGTAATCTTAACCATTAAATATGGCCTACGGCGACATGGAAAATGCTGTCATTACTATGAGTTGTTTGAGCGAGTCATAAGAAACATTGGTACACTGGAGGCAGAGAAGAAAATTAATCATCACCAGAAAATTGTTCACAAGATCCTGGAACATCCAGCGGTGGCATCGAGAAAGAGGAGTCACACTGTGAGTGTCTCTTTATCCCAGAGTGCTAACATTCATTTAGTATTTGTTTATTAGCTCTTAAACCCACTTCCGGTATCATTCATATATTACATAACGTAAATTAGTATGCGAATTTCTTCAATTTTATGGTAGGTACATTTTTTTTTCACTTTATCTAGCGACTTCTAGCAACTTTTCGGAGTAACTCTACTGACACTTGGTCAGCATAAGGTGGAAAACTTCGTCATATCCCTGGCCACGCTCCCTGACTGAACAACTGTATTCTCCAGCCTCCGGCCACCAGCGAAATCGACGATCTCTGTACGTAAACTGTACATCAGTCTTGCGCTTAACAATGTTTCATTAGTGTGATGGGAGAAAATCATAACAAATGTGGTTGGCACGCGAGTTTGTGTTGTAACATCTTTTGGGAGAAATGAGAAATTCTTAAACCATATTAATAGAAACTGAGTAGCCTATCAATTTGTGTCCCTTGGTGATTATACAGTGGGGGTCAAAAGTTCGCCCCCGCCCAAAATGAAGCAGCATCGACCCCAAACGAGATAAATGAGTCAGTACGGTAAGTCAGTTCGGAGACTCATTCCCGTGACTGTTTCACCACGGGGAGCGAACTGTTGTCCCCGACTGTACATGCCTGTGTTACGTCTATTCAGTGTACAAGAACGTACGCTAGGTAATAGTTGTCTGATCATCACTCACAATGCAAGTGGTCACAGTAGGTATTGCACTGGACGATGCGGAATGTGGATGTTAATCTGTCATATAAATATAAGAGGAATAAAATGTCTCTTGGTGGAGATAGTCTATTAATATATTGGAGTAGACATAGGTGTGTATTATTGTGAAAATGCTCTACGTGTTTGTGTGTGAAAATAAAATGTGTGGAGCAGTGTGGTGGTAAAATTATGAACATGTCTTACAGATATATAGTGTGGTACATGATGGAGTGGACACTACTACAGCGTGTGGGTACTATGTTCTACCTCGTCAGTCCCAACTCCACCTCCTTCAGCCGCATCGATCACGTCCCCAACTATATACACGAGGTAACTTTAACACTCTTACCTACATCAATCATCATTATTATCACCGTGTCGCCATCGAGGTGGTGATGGCTGTCATCATAATCGGCAGTTATATTAATCTTACGTACTGACGTAATGCCAAACTCCCGTCAATTGGCTTTCTCGTGGATTTTTGTTTTAATGTTGCTTCTTACTCACGATCGATGTAAATTCGATGGAAATATATAACTATGACGTAATAGTGTAAATGCTACACCAGTGTCTTCCCAAACTTTAAATAGAAACCACCTTAACTCTTTAAGTTTTCCGTTGCGCCGCGTCCCATTTCATATTATAATAGTTTTTGATGGAGAAAACAGGAAAATAAACAGTTTAGTCTTGGATTTTATCGCCGGATCTTATTGATCTAGTATTTTAACTAATATTCTTTGTCTCCCTTCACCCAGGCGTATTTAACTTCGTAGTACTGTACATCTTGGTTTGGGTTGTCATTTTTTACTCTCCCAAACATTTCTATAGTCCATTTCACTTCCTCAAAAAATTTGCAAGCATCACCTACGAGCAAAACGTAAACATACACAACCGCCATGTTTGCAAATGACTGAATTCAGTAATATAGGAGGCGTAGTGAAGTCAATATATGATGATCCCCTATTAAAATAATTAAAATAGGACGGGGAGTACTTCAAAGTCCCACTCCGCAACGGGGCACACAAAAATAAAGGCTAGACAGTGACTTAGAATGTATCTTATGTCGACTACGAGTTTTTAGCAAGTTTGGTGTTCTTAATCCCTCATGAAAAGTAACCTTTCAAGGCCAATAGGAACTAGGGGTCTAACATTCCCATTCTTCCCACACATGTTTTTGCAGCACTTTTTTTCTTTATCATTGTGATCAGTTTTTGTTTTCCCATAAATATTACTTGTTGCCGGACCTGGAAAGGACAGCAAAACCTTCAGAGTGGATTTTTTTTTTTTTTTTTTGTGCCCGGGTACTGCTTATACAGTAACATCGCACTGCTTTACCATACAAATATTATCATAAAGACAACAGGCAGGGAGGGACACCAACCGCTAGGATAAAGGCAGGCATTTCTGTATAAAATACTACCAAATAAATAGGGTGGTTGGAAGGTGAGAATTGTGAAGGTTCTTATCTAGCAAAAACGTGACGTTGATAAAAAAAATCCAACAAAACACGACGCTGGGTGAAAAAATACTCTGCCCGTGTCACGCCATGTTGAGTGGTGTCGTTAGTAAGTGCATTCTAGAGGGTTGTAGAATACACCCAGTATGAAAGTTGTAAGTCATAATGTATTATTACGCTTTAACGACAAAGGTCCTGAACACCTGAGGGTCAAGACGTATCAGGTGCTGCTTCTGCAGCTGCTTTTACCAAATGTTTGGTGGCCCCCTCCATCAAGATATCAGCAAATTCACGCAAAAATTTATGATTTCGTTTCGGAAAGGAATGGAAACTGTTGAACATAGGCGAACATTTTTGAACACCAATGAAATCAGTGCTAAACAGTAAGAGCTGATGGTCGTCCATAAACTGACCTTCACAACCACCGGTAAAAGACCTTATAGCGTACCCAAAGAGAAGCGCCCCTGTGAACCAACAATTGTACTACAGCTGACCACGCAGCAGGCGCTAACCAGAGATATTCGGCCTTGCCCCCCTTTGCTGCGAATCCCGTAACACCACTGTCACCACTTGACAGTGAGTGAGGTACTGCGACGTCACGTAATGAAAAATTTGCCCCGATACCAAATAAGACCCATCTTGACACCACCTGTGAACGAGTTACTGCACCACGTTATCTGTTCAACACCTCAACACGCCTGATTTACGAGACCTCACAGAAGGGCGTAAGACCAGGCCCTGCCCTCCAGTGTAAAAAATAATGTGCATGTTTACTTCATGTTTCTTTTCCTAACTGTAATGAAAGCTTTTGTTAAATGACCCGCTTCTCCGTGTCACTGCATGTAATAAATCACTTTTGTCCGTTGTATATTTGCAGCGTTTTGGTTACTGTACCTTTTCAATAAACCAGTAATTATTATCATTACATAAACTTTTCATCAACAGCCCAAAATTAAAATTGATTCTCTTTATTCCGGAGTTATGTTGCTGACCTACTGTTGGCTCGTCACTTAATAGAGGATACGGTAATTAGGCTACCCGAGTTCTGCGTATACCCAGTCCTTGTTACGTGCAATTGGCGCAAGATTCCATACATTGCAATTGTAAAGTGCGTTTTCATGACAAATGCATGTAATCTAAGTTCTGAATTTTGGCAATATATTTTTCTCAAACCATTGTATAATGACTCTTACTTTGCTGTTTAGCGCATCTTACTGTTTAGTGAATAAATATGCCTGCCAATCTATGGAATCAACAGCAATCGTGAAAACTACGAAAAGTTAACTTCATGTAGGTTTGGTTTAGTCTAAGGGTAGGTTGCCATTATCAGATATTGGTAACAATGCATCTTAGCCATTACAACAAAAATAAAGTAGCATTGCTTTATGTTAGTTGTGATAATGATGAAACAGTAAAACTATGGGTTTATGTTTCAGGCAATTCCTGTGATGGCAGTCTTCATGTTGGTGGATTTGGCAGTGCGTTTCCTGCAGGGCAAAACTGTTAGATTCAGCGAAGTTTTCTTCTCTGTAAATTCTGGGATTCTCGACGAGGCTGCAAGGTAAAGAGTGAGAGGGAAGGAATGAAAGGGTGGAAAGTGAATGAGAGGAATGAGACATTGTTGATGTAAAGATGTGTGTTGCCGTTATATTTTCAATGCACATTAAAATAAGCTAGAGATTTATATATAATTCGAAAGTGGCGTAACCTTACACGCGGGAGTTTCACAGGTACCTTCTTTTTCATGGCAACTGGGTGCTTCTTGGGGCTATATTTTATATATTCCAAAGATCTCATTGATTTCCAAAGTTTAATTTCATGATAATTAAATTCTCTTAACTCGCAGAAGTTGGTGTTCCAATTTTTTAAAGCATCTTAGAAATATAATTATTTATCATTTCACCACTTATTCTTTTATTATTCAGTTGTAATCAAGCACAATCAAAGCCTTAATTTACTTTTATTAATGCACCATCTGAGCTAGCATAGTCAACTGAGGTGTGGTGGTGACGCAGGTTGTCGTGGGTGGTGTTGCTAGGCTACCAGTGGCTCTACCAGTACCGCATCTGGGACCTGCCTTGGGACTCTCTTTACACGTGGTTCGGCGCCTTCATCCTGGTCGACCTTTGTTATTACTGGATTCACCGAGCTAACCACGGTACGTGAGGCTTGAACTGTGGTAACTGTGAATCACTGGTCAACAAACAATACAATATTGTAAGCTTAGGTTATCCTGATCAAGACAAAAGTGGTCGTGTCGACACATTAGGAGCATTACAGTAACACAAAAGGGGCTTGTAATCTATGCAAATTAAATATGTTGGTTTATGACCCAATGTAAATTAGGTATTTTCAGTCACATTATAATTATATACAGAATTACAGGCCTTTTAACTTTTTCTATTTCACACGGCAGAAGTGAACATCTTGTGGGCAGTGCATCAGTATCACCATTCTGCAGAAGACTTCACCTTCTCGACAAGTATACGTAACTCAGTACTACAACGAGCGATACACTTTGGTTTCTACCATCCCCTGGCGTTGATAGGGTTCCCACTACCCACCGTCGCCGTCCACATAGCCTTCAACTACCTTTACCAGTTCTTCATGCACAACGAGTACGTTGGCAACCTTGGTCCAATAGGCTGGGTCCTCATGACCCCCTCCCTCCACCGCGTTCATCATGGTAAGGATTTTACAGACACAGCGACAGCATTGTGCTAGGCTCGCCGTGCTGCTGGCAGGGTGATTATACAAGTGTACTTGTCTGACACTGGGTATTTAATATTACATTTGGGAAAGTGAAGACAGTCGAGTATAGTACTATGCACACTGCCGTCTGCCAGGTTTATGGAACCACTTACTTTCCATCCTTGATTCAAGAAAAACCTTAATTCTTGTGATAGAGGTTTTGATACTCCACATAACAAGTGAGTATGGTGTATGTGACGTTATAAACTACAGTAATACAATATACGTTTAACTGGACAATATGACGCATTTGCTTACCATGTTGATCTTCAGGTGAACACTTAAGGTTTTGATACTTTAGTTAACTACAAAATACTGTACTATGGTGGTCGCATATTTAGCCACATATTATCGTCGACCCAGCATGGTGGTCCAATGAGATTGATAATGAAAAATCCGACGAAGAGCCATAACACTCAGCCTTAAAATTGAGTTTGTTTATTCTTAAATTACTTTCTAATTAAATTGTGGGTCGATGACCTGTGCCCGGGTGGGCTATTCCCCGTACAAAAATAGTATTAAGTATATGTTTTACGATAAAAAGCTTTTAAACTTAAATATTTACATTCTTTTTAATGACTTAGACTCCAAGACTACAGAATGGATTAAATGGTACTGAAGGGGCAGGCATATGGGTAACATGGCAGGTGAAAGATCGGTGAGCAGTCAGTTTGACATTTATTAACTACACATTTAAGTACATACTGGTGTTCCCCAGGGTCAAACAAGTGGTGCCTGGACAAGAACTACGCCAGTGTGTTCGTCATCTGGGACCGTATCTTCGGCACCTTTGAGCCCGAGAGAGACAACGAGGTGATAGTGTACGGTCTCACTGAGCAGCCCCAGACCCACAACGTCCTCTGGCACCAGGTCTGTTGTTATTCTCTCTGTCCACTTTCCTCTCACCCTTCGATACTCACATCCCGCCTGCTCATCCTCTCCGTGTCCTGTCCTCCTCGCCTCCTGCCTCATTTTGCCGTAACCATGACCTTTATTTGGGGTTTATTTCAGCATTAAGTAATTTGTCTTCTCAAAGTTTTATGTATAAAATTCATACAAAATGTATAGAACTGAGGAAGCACAATTTTGAATGCACAATTGTAGACTTTCTTTTCACTCCCTCCCCCCCCCTCCTTCGGTGTTTGCTAGCCTTTCACGTTGCCTTATATACACTTTACTGTGAAATTATATGTCTATTATTGTCATTGAAAACCCATACAGTGGAGTCGATGCTCACACACTGAAGCGCTTTTTCATTACTGTATTAAGTGCTTTTTAACTGCGTACACCCCTCCCTTGAAACATTCTTTGATCCACCCCTGCATCACTTCTTGTTCCTGCTGTATATTTGCTTTTGATTTAAACAGATGAATGAGTAAAAAAAAAACGAAAGTTTTTTTTTAAGAGGAATGAGGCCGAAAATGTTTGTGCCTAAGATGATGGTGTAGCAGTGAATAAAAAGGTTAAGATTCACTCATCTAGATAAATGATTCAGTTCCTAAGCCAATGTTCTCTATTAAGAGTAAGTTACCTCCTCAAACCTCATCTTTGGCTAAACTATGGCAGTGCGATGGTAATGCCGAGACTAACATCACTTCTACGGTGTCATTGATTTAATGCTATATATTACCTCTCAAGCTAACCTTAATTTTAGTAACATACATGTAAATAAACTTTGAAAACCAGTTAATAAGCTCTACCCCGAAGGTCTACTACTTCGATGAGATATACAAAAAAGCCAGAAGTATGAGTACATGGAGAGACTCCCTGAAAGCCGTGTTCTATGGACCTGGCTGGTCCCCCGGAGCACCCCGCCTCGGGGATCCTGACACCTTCCCTGACGTGAAAGCCCCCAGAGCCAAATACGACCCCCAGCTGCCCCTATGGCAGGTTGTGTATGTCGTCTCTCACCAACTGCTGGCGCTGTCTGCACAACAGTTAATGGTTATACGCTACACGGTAAGACTCCTCGCATTTTCTTTTTCTATTCTTTCTACCTCATATACAATTCTATTTATCAAAGACGATTATTACTCCCAAAGAACACAATAGATTCAGTTTTGTTAAGAATGACGATGAAAGGAGGACTACCACCACCTCATACACAGGTACACTAATAAATAGTATAGGCCAGCATCTCAAAGGCCGCCCACATAAACACATAAAATCTTTATGAATAACCCATATAACCTCTGTCATCCATCAGGTCACATGTACTACCTCCTGTCAGTAACACCTACAGCTTTATTCTTAAACTTTTTTTTACATCGTATTTACTTGTTTAGCCTCGTCCTCGCTAACAAGTCTTCCCTCTTTCAACTCTGCAAATAGTTCATTCCTCCATGACCCACACAAGACATCTCTGCCCATTTCTCATGTTCCTATATTCCTATAACCAGTTGTTTCAAAATATTCTACTCCTTTCACTGCATCTTGCTACATCTGAGCGTGTGATTGGAAAAGTAATTTTGCCCAGTGATACCCCTCAACGGTACACCAACACTAGGAGAAACTATTCAGTACCTCAGCTGCAAATGTTTACTGGGACCTCGGCTGTGGCAATGACAGTCTCTGATTCGGCAGTTATTAAAGATCCAGTCAGAGCTTTGTGAAACTGTCTTGTTTAACGTTTAACTATTATTGTGCTTCAACATCTAGGTTCTTAAAACACAAAGTGTTTAGTGAGTAATTATATTAGTCCATCAACTATTAATATTATGAGATAGAACCGTTGGTGATTATTCCGCAAACACCGCTATACGAAAAATAATCCTGAATTAATTGTTTGTTTAACTTTATTTTATATGAACGAATGTTATTGCTGGTGCTGAACACCCGATACCCTTCAAATAACCCAAACAAGGCGTCTCACGTTCCTATATAGATAATATTGCAAAATACACACTACTAAATACAAAATACTTTACTCAATACCTGCATTCCAAAATACACGAGGCTTATTACAGTGGGTAGGGTAGGTTAGGCCTTAAGATTAACCTCATGGAGGGTCCTGACCCCACCTGAGGAATGGTCATCCCGGGTTTTGCCACCTGAAGAATCGTCACCCCAGGTTGTCCCACCTGAAGAATGGTCACCCTGCCAAACTGTGTGGTGATGATTCTTCACGTGATCCCCTTATTAAATTTGATCTAAAACTACGCCAAACATTACCTTTACTTTAGTCATCCTCTTCACCACTGGTCAGCCTGTTCGCCTCATGGGTGGTTGGTCACGTCTCTGTTACGCATTGTTGGCAGCTGGCATGTACTGTACTAGCTCCTGAATGTATCTGAACCTGCTCCAGAGTTGGTCAAGTCTTGAAAGATCACACGCACATTACTTGTTACCATCGCAAGTCACAACACAACACTGACAGATAGTTCCAAAACGGTTCAAAACTTCCAAGCGTTCACAAAAAATACATTTTTAATGTTAAATTCACCAGCCGTTTGGTGGATTAGTCCACCAGAGCACAGGTCAATGACCCGCATCAGGGCCTGGGGGCGAAAATGTAATAATAATAATTATTATTATTATTTTTATTATTATTATTAAACATTAATAAAAAATATATAAAAAATGTCTCTTGATTCTCTTACTAGTCACAACATACATACTGTACATATATTGTTTCTCACTTTTGATTTTTTTCTTTATGGTTATTATTATTATTATTATTGTAGTTATTACAGTATTATTATCATTATTATTTTGTTTTCAATTTTGTATTTTTATTATAAATTTTACTTACAGTACTATGAAGTTTTATTATTATTATTGTATTACAGGTTGACAATCCCTTATCCGAAATCATTGGGGCCAGAGGCATTTCGGATTTTGGAATTTTTTTTTTTTTTTTTTTTTTTTTTTTTTTAGCCTACCCGGGCACAAGTCACTGACCCACATTAGGGCCTGGGTGGCAAAAATATTATAAAAATTATAATAATAATAACAATTCATAGGTCTAGGTCATGTTTCTCACTTTTGATCTTTTTTTCATTCAAGTATTTCTTTATTATTATTATTATTATTATTTTATTATTACAGTATTATTGTTATTATTATTATTATTATTAATTTTTTATTATATTTTATTATTATTATTATTATTGTTATCATTATTATTTTATTTTGGCATATTTTTTATTAAAATCTTTATTTACTATAAATAATTATTATAATTATTATTACTATTATATTTTCGCCCCCCAGGCCCCGATGTGGGTCAGTGATCTATGCCCGGGTGGGCTAAACCCTGTTTAAAAAGAAAAAAAAGTTTTTGAATTTTTTTTCGGTTTTTGGAATTTCGGATAAAGGGTTGTCAACCTGTATTACATCTTCGCCCCCCAGGCCCCGATGTGAGTCAGTGACCTGTGCCCGGGTGGGCTAAGCCCCAATTTACAATAATCTGTGTTTTAATAGTTTTTATGTTTTAACACCCTCTCGTGATTTACGTTAGGCCGACACGGAATGTAAACACTGGAGAAGTACCCAGTACATCTCTCCCTTCACTTGTCAAATCCAAAAAGCTGCTATGTGGAAAAACTGCTTTTCCATCCATGCAGTTCACCTACCAGTGTGTCACATGGCATTTCCATTTCATTTCGCACCTGCCTTCTCTTGTGTAACCAACGTTATCATTATTTATCGTTGTGTAAACTTGTGATCGCTGTAATTCAAGCGTTTGCCATTATTTGTGCTGATTTTACGTTAACTAACATATACGGCCATGGCCAGTACAACTGTTCAGATTTTGCTCAATTTTGGTGACTGAAGTGATTAATAACCTTGAAAATGGCTAGCAAGTATCCTGTCGAGTCTCCCGTCTCTAGGAAAGCCAAGGCTTTGAGAATGACTGTCTCTGGAAACAAAGTTAGATATTTTAAAGCAGCGGGCTTGTTATTATTAATGTGATGAGAGTTGTTTAATTTTTTCTTTATTTAATCAGTGTAAGGCAGCCTTTTCTGTGATACATGTCTGTGTCGGACAGACCAGGAATGTGTCCCATTGAAACCCATGTTAAAAGGCTCCCAATTTACGTTAGGCTTTCCAGGATCACAACCCTATCATAAATTGGAAGATACCTGTATAAATAAATAATTTTTTGCTTGTAAGACTACTTTTCTGGGTCACTCCATTTACCAAAATAGGAAAATACTTTAACAACAGAGCAATCTCTTATGTTCAAAATGCACTGTTTGAGTGCAGTTTTCAGAAAATTTATTTGCTGCTAAAAGGAATACCCCCACCTCCAGTGCTCACAAAAGGTTGGCCTTCACTTGAAATTTTCTGCATTTGTCTTTGATATTCTACCATTTCAAAAACATTTCATATGTAAATGTTCCATAGAAGATACAAGAGACTACTGCATTAGCTATATTATGATTAATGTTGCCAGTGATACCATAACTGATAATGACCAATTCCCAGACGTCTTCATGGTTGATGGTGCTCACATTCCTGGTGTTCATAACCATGGCTGTGTGTGTGACGTCTGCCATATTTGATGGGTGGCGATGGGCACCCATGGCTGAAGCTGCCCGCTGTGGTGCTTTCGCTTACGCCTTCACCACACCCGTCACTGCTATCCCTGATGTAGACACTGCCCTTATGGTTTATTTCTCTCTCTGCTTCTTATTCTGGACGAAGCATGGACTAAATCATCCGAGTGCCAAAATTCACACTAACAAGAAGAACTGAGGGTTGTTACTGTCCATCTGCTTGGGAACACATCTGCAGCTGAAGACAGTGACACTGACACCAATGTGACAAGAGAAAACCATCTACTGAGGTTTGATAAAAAACTGTGGGTCGTAAGTTTTCCAAACACTGTACAGTATTGTCGTAACAGAACTGTCTTAGTAATGGAACACCACTAATCCACGTGCACCATATGTACTTAATGGTATGAACCACACTCCAGTACCCTCAGCCAACTAGAAATGGACTATCCACTTTCTCCTGTTATTACAATAGAAAAGAATGGCATATTGTTTTTATTGTTTTTTGTAGGAAGGCAATAAACAAAAACAGCACCTGGAACAACAAAAGGATTCTTATTTCACAATGCTAAGCTACTCAAGGAATGAGTAAAAACAGAGAAGGATATTTCTAAAGGCTCTGATCTCATGAAGATTATTTACCCAGGATAGTAACAAGTGGTCTAAGGTGGGGTACTGAATCTTAAGGACTTTGGGATACCTAATTTTTACGAGATCCGAAAGTTGATAAAAAAAAATTCCTGAAAATAATAGACATATATGCCACTTGTTCAAGTTTGTTTAAAATATATTGAAAACTGGTAGAGTTATTTTACTATTGTACAATACCCTTAGAATACAATCAGACAACTTTTGTTCATTGAGACAACCGATCCTTAGACACAAACACTCCCACACTCGATCACTATGCCCCACTGCCTGGCCAATATATCTTGACCTCTGAAAAATATTGTTCATCTTCCTAATGATCAGTTACTCTATATCTGAAATTAGAGAAAATACCGGTAATGCCAATAATTAAACGAAAAAATTCCATTCTTTATTTCAAAAATAGGAAGAACAACAATGACTAATATAAAACATCATGTTAACTATAAAAGAGAAAATATGAAGTATCATGAATCTTTTGTATCAAACCTTCCATTATCAAGAAAATATGTAGTAGTACTTTACATGTACAGTATATCAAAAAATTATCTGTCAGGATGGGTCCGATGACTTCCAAAGTGCTACATGCAACTCAAAATGTCCCAGGAGGGTTGGTATGAATGGCTCTAGCATACTGATGCTACTACATTTGGTAACCAAATATCTTATTAATTATGCCAAAATAAATACTCATTGCATTACTATGTTAAAACTATACAGGGCAGAAATGTGCAGATCCCAATATCTATCATCCGTGGTCTCATAATGTTTCACACAGTGTGTGAACAAATATTTTTGAGATACTGCACAATAAAAAAAATTATGTTATTTGTATATGTCTTACTGCAACTTGGCACAGGTTGTTGTCACAATGATCAGTGTTTCAGTTGGGCCTTGGACCTAATTGCAATGGTTCAAATTTAATTGTCTGTAAATACACCTGTATATAGTGGAAATAATTTTGATATTTGATTGCAACTTTGTAAAAAAACAAACATTATTGTACAATATAAACATAAACAGCCGAGACACAATACAACACTAGAATACTAATACCACTATGTTGTACAGTTTGTAGGATTTAATTCATTGAAACTATTTATCAGTCATATAATCCCAATGTAACCTACCTTTCTGAAAGTATCTCAAGTCATATGACTCAATAACTAGACAGTATTAGATATAATTTACAACTTTTATCAAATTATTTATTCAAGTAGCAGCTTTCTGGATAAACTAATACAACAAAGAAGCTGTATACTGTACAGCAAATATGTCACAAAATAAAAACCGATTTCTACATACTGTAACTGTGTTAGAAATTTCAAAGATGAGTAACATGCCATAAAACAAGTGAGTATTTTAAGCATTGGATTGTAAGAGGTCATGTCAGAGGCTTAAAAATGGTAAGATAATTTTGGGGGGAACCATGACAGAATAGGTGTCTCTTAATAGTTTACCCACAGGACCAAAATCGTGAGTGTTATATCACCTTTAAACCTCTATGTTGACCCTGAAATAATTTTTAAAAATTACCAGAGTTTGGGAGATACTGTACTGTATAGATTACTGTACCTGTAATTTCACTTTGTACAATCAGACAAAAGTTGTGTTGCGGATTTGTCCGAAGATTAAATATAACTCGTGAAACATTATGAGGGCCCTACCACAAGGCAGAGCACACCAAAAGTTTTAGCCCTTTGGCAGATGTTTTCACCAAATTTCATGACATGACTTTTGTCTCTCATTGTACACTATTTAAGGATCACATTAAATGTTCACAGTTACCCTAAATCTATTGAGTTTTGTCCCTAAAGGGGCACAGTTCCAAAACCATCCTACCATCTCTGAGTGACTCCTTTAAAATGTCTTTGGTGATGTGTATGTATTGTAAGGTGTGACTACAGGTGCTGAAAACCTGCTCCACTTTTCAAATGAGAATGGAATAAAAGTGATAGAGTTATACATAGATGGATAACTAAATGTAACTGGATAGATGGACTGACTATTAAAGAGATGGTAGCTAATTAGTATAATGCTGATAGCTAATCAAAAATAGATGGCTAACTAATTATAGATGAACAGCTAATTAATTTAATGCTTTAATATTCATAATGCATGAGGTTGTTGTCCTGCTGTTAGAGTATTGACTTCAACTTTTATCACCTTGTTCACACTAATGATCCAGCACAGTTAATACAAGATGCTTATACAGTATACAGTAGTACCCTGATTTACGCGGTCAATTGAACCCATGGGGTACTGCGGAAAGTGAAAACCGCGTAAAGTGAACAACAGAACATATGGGATTAATTCCAATAGAGACTGGCCAGACTCCCAAACTCCACTTTTTCAGACACAATACCTACGTTGTAGTAAAAATTACATCTTAATTTTATGATGGTATGCACACACAATTAATAATTAAGAGAATATCAATAATATTAGTTTTTTAACACTTACATTAGTAGAAAAGATGGCTGGGCACATGGGGATGGGGGGTTGGTTCCGAGGCAGAGGGCAGATTATTGGCCCTCACCTGTATCACTTGTATCAATTGTATCACTATCCACCACAAAGGCTTGCAGGGCCTCTTTGTCAAACCCCTCAAAGTCCATATAAGTCCATATCCTCACTATCACTGACTTAGGCCGGCTGTGGTGGGTGAAGAACTCGGTAATGTTTTGATGACTGGGCGACCTTGTGCGCATCCTGCCCGCGCCACTTCCTGCGTATATGAGTAGATGCACCGCGGAAAGTCTAAGTTCGGTTCTGGCGAGGCACCGCATAAATGAGAAATCGCGGAAAGTGGGGTAATACTGTATCTAATATTTTCTTATATTCCTACAATAAGTGTTATACAGAACTATGGTGAAGATAGTCACTGTTATATAGGACTATGGTCAAGATAGTATCATAAAGTATAGCACCATGGTCAAAATTAGGTAAGACATCTGGCTGTACTTCCAAGTGACAAAATGTTTTATTTAAAAAGTGAAACATTCTTCAAGGCATTTTGCCACTAATATTTTTGAAGTACAGGTATATTTTTATAATGTTTTCCTGGTACCATTCCTGTTAATAGGGTACTGTCAATTTAATCATCAAACAGTAAAATTTCCTTACATAAAAATGTTCATTACAATAACTAATATCCCTAGTACTGTATTTGGGTCTAAGTCCAGGATATTTGCTGTGGTATTCCTGTAAAAATTATTACTCAACCAAAACAATTTTCATTAGGGATATATGCGAGTCATTTACAACTGAAAGTCTAGGGTAGTTATTACTGTAAATTATATCATACAATAATGTCTATACTATAATGTATACATAGGGATAGGAACCCTGTTTTCTCGACCTTCATTACCATACAAAAATATAAGCAACTATGACTGTCTGTACCCATTTGCTTTTCCAGTCACCTTGCAACATAGAGGAAAAGGGTTTACAGATATGACAAATCTACAATTTACATTTTCACAAATACTATCTTTACTTATACTGTATACACAAGATATCATCAGCCAAGTGGATACAGAAGAAAAAAAGTTAGACTGAAATGTCTGAAAAAAATTACCGGTATTTCAAACTAGAATTATGTTTGTGAAACACACACAGTATATACAGTAAGCCCCCAGTGATGCAAAAATTCAACCCAATTGCCTGAAAATCTAATCAGGTATTCCAAATGCTCACAAACTGAACTCAGGTGGGATGGAAATATGGATGAACATAACTACAAATGGATGGAGAGGCAAATACAAATCAATATGGTGAAAGAAAATTCTTATTCATTAAAGCATTCTTTAACGACATTTCACTACAGGGCTTCATGTATATCACAGAAATTATGGTCACAACGCAAACTTAGCAAATTCAGCCAAATGTCACAATAAGACCAATACTAAAAATCTGAACAAGTGACACTATAAAATTATAGACGTATTGTATACAGTAACTGTTTAAGTAGCTATTTTCCAATAATTAAAATGGCTTTAGTTTATGTTCAATGCAAAACTTTATTATGAATTTCTGGTGTAACTAAACAAATTACTTACCTCTTGTTCAAATCTAGATCTTAACATATTTCTCAACAAGAAAGCTTGATGTTTTTCAGTTCCATGATAGCCAGTAGATCATCAGCACTTTTTTTCTATACAGTATTTACACTCCAGTTAGGACAGAAAGATCTACTCTATTCATGACTGATCTGCAAATTGTACTTCAGAAATTAATAAAAACTAATTTGGTATGTTCATAGTCAGAAGAAAACACAATGTAGTACTACCTATTTCTTCTAGTAAAATGTCACTGATGAATATTAAATGAAATCTGAAGTCAAGTAGACTAAGAGGAATAGTAAATTCAAAGTTGTATACAGTATGATGTTTGTCAGTTTAATGTGAAAAGAGGACGAATAAATGAGTTTAACGCTATAAAGCCACGGAGTATCACTAATATATATTTTATTTATGAGACAATAAACGAGAGAAACACTATAGAATATAACAAAAAACTTTACAAAAACTTCACAAAAACAAAGCACTAATATATCATATGTGATACTCTGAGGCTACCATAAGTAAATCATCTTGTATAACTGGAAGATGGTACTGTACTGTATAGCGTACAGTACTGCCAAAAAAATATTCCCAAGATTCAGAAATACTGCAGATGAATATCTACTCGAAGGATATGTACAGTACATCAAAAGCCAGTCAATATTTTTAAGTTTTCTCCATCAGTACAAGCATATTGTGAGCTTTTCTTCATTCAGCTCGGTTTTTTCTTCTTAATAATAGGTGGTTTTCCTTATTGGCACAACTCATATCATGTGGTGTTTCCTATGGATAAAGCAGAATGGGACATGAAAACTCTCCCTATAACTAGAAACATACTGACCATCACCTACTTATTATCATACAATCTGTCCATAAATTATCGAACTCATTTCAAAACCTAATTCGTATTCTCAAAAACATAATACAATACTGTACAGTAACTAGAACACTCCAGTTATATTTTACTCGACACACGACTAAGTTTTTCTCATACCAGTAGACTTCCTCATGCGCACCGTGGTCCACTTACAATATTTTTCAGGTTATTTTTAAAACGAGTCTTATAATCTATGGGCACCCTGTATAATAAGCCTCCAACATAACTGCTGGAATCTCGTGCAATGCAACTGTCATGGAGAGCAGCTGTAAAGTAATCCAGGTGCTCACTAATTATATTAAAAAACAAATGGTTAGCTCCTTTGTGTGTGTGCAAGCTCTAGTGAGTACAAAGATTATGGCCAAATTTGGTAAGACAGTGTAGAGAAGTTAATGGGTATTACAAAAACAGAAATGGAAAATACAGGGTAGTAACATTTTAAGAAGAGTGCTGAGGGTAGCATGATAAAGAAATGAAATACAGTAATATCTAAAAAAACAGTCAAATAGTTGTGTAAAATGGAAAGCAATGGTATTTGAAGAACAGTGCAATAGGGCAGTGGCATAAAGAAATGGATTCTAATAGTTGAAGAAGTGTCATTGCAAATTAGAGCCAGAGCACTAAACAAGACACTGTGCATATGGAGTAAAGGTTACATCAAAATGTTAATGTCTAACCAATCATTTATCTTTATCATTAGTCTGAAACTTTAAATACTTGTTCTTGGAAACCAGTGAATAACTAATGAGCAAGAGATTACCAAGTTTTCCTCTTTCCGTGAATTTTACTTCCATGGGAATAAGAGAGATCAAGTGAGTGGATTGACACTACCATGTCTTTCGCATTACAAAACAATGACTATACTGTATATAAGAAATATCACATTGTATATGGAGGGGCATCATAAACTATGAAAAAAATATCATCTCACAATAATTCAAAATCTCTTTAATTTATTAACAAAACTAACATAGCTACAAATTGTTATAACTTATTTGTTGAACATCTTATTACAGAGCTCTGTGTTTTTCTTATTCATCACAAAAGTTTTCCCTGGTACAGGTGATAATTTCCTCTTATACTTCCTGAGTACATAATTACTGCCAGGGATTCGTTCCAGCTTACGAACATTGTTCACCACCTCAAAGTTGGGTTGCACCTGAAATGATGATTAAGGTAACTAAACAGTCAGTCAACAGCTATTTTTTTTAATTTCTAGTTAACAGTAAGAGTAAACTAAGAATTCTATAAACTGTATCAAGTAAACACATTGTTATATGTACAGTACATCAAAAAGTTGTTTAAAGCAAAACAATCCCATTGTGTTCATTTATGAAACCCTAGGGTACTGTGTTTTGAAATGACGAGCTATATATTACACCAAATAGGCATCATCACAACACAGTGCACTTTTTCCTCATCTATCTATTCCCAAATAAATATTATGTAACATTGACACTAAGCTCTCAAAAAATAATTCACATACATGATTACATTTAAAAAATCACCTACCATTTGGAGACACATGACGACTTCATCATAAAAATCAAGGTCGGTAATAAAGTTGAGTTGTGTTTGTGCTCCAGTGTTGAACTCTATCAAAGTCTGCACAAATGAGGTGTCAACTCGTGCTACTCCCTGTATTACCATGGCCGCTCTGTAAGTTATACACCACGTTACGAGAAACTCACAATAATGTATCAAACAAAAACTATCAAGTCAAAAGAATTAATTATAAAATCTCAAATTATCTATATAATGACAACTCTTCATACTGAGAAAACAACAAAATATTTACCCTACTTCCACAAGGCTGTGAGCATTTCGATTCCACAGAGATACTTGGACCTGACCAGCAAAGTCGTATGAGATGGCACCATTCAGACTGAGTTCAGCATTAAATCCATTCTGCAGTGGCACAACCTGCATGTGGTCTTGAAGGAGTAGTGAGCCCTATAAGACAAAAATTTCACATTTAAACAGTGAAAGTATATACAGAAAAAAAACCCGAGTACCGGACTAATTAGGCCACGGCGACATCGTTACTCAGATGGAATGCATTACTGTACTGTATTCGGGTGTCCATATCACCTGGAAGGCACAACTGTTCAAAACAACAACCAGCATATTACACTCACACAGCTTGGCTTATTTATGCTCATAATAAATTAGTTCAAGTTAAATAATCCTACTCATGGTATACTTTAAGTAAATTCAGTTGTTGTTTTAATGTGGGTTAATAGATGTAGCTAAGGTTATAGAATCTATTAGCTTTCAGAGCCCCAAGATTTTTTTAAGGTTCCCAAGTCTCAATGTATGTATGTACGTATGTATGTATGTATGTATGTATGATGGATTTGTGCAGTGTGAGATAAAGTGAATGTACTGTACTTGCTTGGGCAGTGTTCTCACAATGTATGTTAATTATAAGTCACACAAGAACAGGCACATTTGCACTGCAGCATGGCCGTGTTGTTGTCATGGGGGCTGGACTGGTGGGACCACCTGGTCCTCGCTGTGTCACTCCACAACAATAACAATGACCAGTAATATATAGAATATATATATATATTTTATTTTTCCAACATTGGTGTTATTATTCAGACATGTCTTTACTCGTGTGATCCGGTACTCATGTTTTTTACTGTAATGATAATGAAGATACAAAGTTCAACATTAGCTGATACTTTTGGTGACAAAATTTAGTTACAGCTCTGAATTTTAGAGATTAAAGTATACAGTATATGAAAACTGAAACTCAACTACCTGAAGAGCTGTCGTTCTCTCCGAGCCGGTGCCGGACCACACGTGACCCATCAGTTCACCCTGTCCAGTGAAGAAGACAAATGGCCGCAGCTGGGTATCCATGAGGGTGATCTCAATACCAGCATTGGCATCTTCTCCATCATCCACAGCACCTTCACCACCAAACACAGCAAGACCACCAGCAAAGATGCCAAACTGAAGGACAGAATTACAGAATATATTAGTGCCAACTGAAACTTAATACTATATTACAGGTACAGTACTTTGAATGTGACACACACAACCATAAAAAAGTAACTACAGTTTGATAGGCTCTGACATGTGGACAAAGTAAATTTGACAATCAGGTCACACACAAATGCAAGCAATAAGGTTATGTAGTGGAACGTGTTGGACTACATTATTTCAATCAAATCACTGATGTGCAAGATGGCAACAAAGCACAATTCTAGACATCAAGGCAATAAGGACATCATTTCCTTACAATCTAGTATTACAAGCTGAAAGTATCATGCATTCACAGGTTCAGTCTTACTTTTGATAAAAAATTTATATTTCTCCTGAAAAATAATCTTTCTTGGCCCTGGATCTAATGGTTACTAAGGTCAAGAATTACACACTATGTCAAATCATCATTATTTCAACTCACAGAAAGTAATCTCATTTGAGCATCTTGGCTCTCTACAAAAACATCAACTGTAGATCTCTTGAGAAGTCCTCCATTAATCTCCAGCATGTTGTTGAAGGAAGAGTTGGCACTTTTGTCTTGGTAGAGAAGCCGGGAGAAAGACGACGAGAGGCCACCTTGACCCAGTATGTGATAATTATTATATTTTGGATCTTGAAACAGTTTCTTCAGCATCTGGAAAACAAACAATATGAATACAGTACAGTACTCCATTTCAATAAAAGGCCTCCATGAAAAGTTTAAATCAGTTCCATAAAGAGGCTCATGTACTGGCGAATAATATAGATTATATAGCTACTAACTCAAAATCTCAATTGGGCAACAAGAAATCAAGAAGTAGACAATACACAAGATGTAAGAGAAGAACACAAGAGGTAAACTGTACATATCACTACCCAAAATTTACATACTGTATTAAGCTCAATTTGCACACTGCTTGTGCTTCAAAAAATAAAAATAAATAAATAAATAAAATCCGAGTAGTAAACTGTACTTACCTGCTGTATGTATTTATCGGTGGTGGCTAAATCACGTAATCTACCCAGCAGTAAAGTATTTAATTCTTTGGTGTCTTGTAAGGCCATCAACCTCAGTATCAACCGTATAAACTCCTCACTGGGCTTGTGTCGTAGAACAATGTCTGCTGCCATGGCTCTGACGCTTGAGTCATGCTGGTGATGCAGCTCCAGGAAGATTCTCTCCAGTCTCTTACACATCTATGAAGATCAAGATCACAATGGAGATCACATTAAGCAATAATATTTGGCTGTCACAACATGTGAGATGTTTGGATGAAGAGGCCTGATGTGCCCGGATTGATTTTTTTGTAAATGTAATGCGAAAATAACTTTTCAGTAATTCTGAACAAATCAATGTCATCTTCAACAATTTACCACATTATGACAAGAAACTATTTTCTCTACTCACAGAATTTTACATACATATGAATGAAAAGTGTTAATTACATCTTATATAAATTTAATTTACCAGTAGTACATTATTGCATCCGAGTAACTAAAGAAAAAATCCAAGCTAAAGCGGAAGTAAAATTCAATATTAAAACTATGAACTTAACAAAAGAAAGAGAGACAAGCAGAGCAAAACAAATGGATTGTTTACCAAAAAAGAAAAGAAAAATTTAGTACTGTAAAACTAAACTCCTTTATATTAAGATATCATTAATTATTTTAAGTACATTTATTACCTCTTTGGTTATATAACTATCAGGCATTGTTTGTAGAGCACGGGCAGCATAGATAGCTGGCTTGCGAGCAACACCTTCAGCAAATTCAAGCAATACATCCATCGTGTCCGCCATGCGTAAATTCTTCAACCCACGGATGTACATCAACTGACATGGCTCATTTTCACAGCTTCTCAGATTCTCAGCTAGGAAGTTTCTCACTTCTGAAACAATCTATGGGAACATTGTAAATATTTCTGCTTGGAAACAATCAATCAACAAACACACTGACAACATTCTACACGTTGTACTGTATATAACCTCTACCCAAGAGACAAAATATTAAACTCGACACAGAACTGATACTTTTAACGAATCAGTAATAGGACAGACAGCATTAGCAGCAGTGAATAGTCCCCCATCATCAGACAAAACATTAAAAACATCATAATGAAGCAGTGTAGATACTGTATTATACTTACTGGTTGTTTACAGTTGCTGGGAAGTTTGCAGAAGGTGTGAGTCAATGAGCTTATAGTAAGGACCAGTGTCTCTAACATCTTGTCATTTTTGTGGCCTTTTTTAACAAGCTTCATTATATCTGTACCAAAAACAAAAGGTCCAAGTTATACATTCAATGTACTGTATAATGAGTACGCCATGAAAATTTATCCATTATTGCTGTAAGCCATTTGTGCAATAGTACTTCTTTTCATCACGTGATCCATAATATTTCTTCTCCAAATGTCTTGGCCATTACCATACTTCTCTACATTCAGTAGTTGTACAAGGGAAGAATTAAAAATATTTGAGAACTCACCATTAATGATAAATTCTGGAGGATGAGTCGTCAGAGAGAGACTCAGGAGGTATCGTTCAGGTAAACCAGTTGGACCATTGAATTTGAGCACGGATTTGGCTGCTTTGTGTGCTGGCTCAGTCTGGGCAGCTGCAGCAATGTCCAGTAACTGTGCCCTGAGAATTATATATAGTAAAATATATAATTACAAGACATTCTATAAATGATCTAGTACCAATAGCACATTTATCTTGAAGACTCTTTAATCTTACTCCATTCACAATAAAAACAATGTCATCATGAAACAGGTTATGGTTCTTTTACTCTTTCAAGCCTTTTCCCTCGGATTCAGTGGTCAAAATCACAGGCAAACAGACGCTCTCCACTTAATTTCACTCCTTCATTCATGCTGATGTAACATATGTCTTGCTCTTCCCCTTACTGCTGCACATATCATATTTTTCCTCCATATCCAATACTGTATATCTTCCCTTCTTAAGTAGCAATAAAAATTTTTGTCATATCTAAATAGCAAATCCAGGTTAAATGACTTTATACACCCTTTATGTACTCTCCTCTGAAATAAATTTACATTCAAGTGTAAAAATATAAAATAAATATATAAGATAGAACTTGGAGCACACATATTACTGTACTGTATATCCAATTACACCAGATAACTACATATTCTAAGCTTGATTGCTATTTTTACATAAATTCCAATATCTCTAAAAATTTCTTCTTCATACATGCTTATCTCAACTAAGAAAGATTACTTACAATATTGGGAAATTTTTCTTATCCTTCAACACAGCCTGGATAGTTTCTTGGTCACTTTCTCTCACTTTCTTTAACAAACGAAGGAAAGCAATAGCCGAGCCCTTGGACCCCAAATTCTTGGAGCTCAGAGTATTGCGGAAATTGTTGACAAGTTCCTTCAGCTGTATCAAGAAAAGCAGCATTAATTTCTAAAAACTACTTTTGTCCATTTTTGCACACTAAGTCATCTCTTTGTACATCTATAATAGTCATAATAAAAAATAATAATAATTTTTTTATAAAATTTTCATCTATAAAATGTGATGAATGTATATGCCATTTCTTTTTTAATATACATAAGCAACATTATTCTCTAGGGATGTGTTCACTGTTTGAACAAATAACTTTAATGACTGTTTACACAGCCATGTAAATTTTTCTCCTATTCATATCTGAGGGTAGAACTACAGTGACAATACTGTATTGTACATATACAGTAGGGTATACAGTACTATACATTAAGCATTACTTATAAGTGTATACAGTAAAGGAATTCTAGTACTGCAGTATGATGTAGAGATCACAACTTCATTCAATTACAATTAAAAATAATATACATCTGAAAAAAAAATTAAATAAAGTTATGAATGTAAGTACTGTACTGTAGTGTGCTGTACTGTACTGTACTGTACACTAACACTTTGGACAAGTCATGTATAATAAAAATCCACCTGCAACAAAAGGTAAAAATACTCGTCGATGAATCAACTCACTGATTTGCATGCAATGCATTCTTTTGAGTCAGGGTTGGTTGCCAATTGGTCAGTGATGAGGGCCTTTTTAAGCTTGGAGGAAATAGACTTGACAACCTCTGCAACATTTTTCCCCGTGTACTTCAGAGTATTAACTTTTTCACGACCTATGGAAGAAAAATAATAATATTGAACAATAAGTAAAAATCAATACAGTACACAAGTGTAGGACAACTGAAGATAAGACTGACAAAAGAATGAAGACTGAATAAGGAAGCAGAAAAATAGAGAAACACAAATCAACCAACATTCAAATGGGATACCGTAATAAAAAATTCATCAAGACATGAATTGAGGAAAAAGAATGAAGGTTGTTCCTAATATAGGTCCATTTAGAAAAAAAAGCACTTACCCTTAAGCTGCAGGACCTGTTTGCTCATTACTTCAGCTCCCGACTGTTTACGCGCCTCCACCCTCAGGAAGTGTGTCTCCATTGATGTGGCTTTACGAATAATTTTTTCATCATTGGTCAGAACATAAGAAGTGGTCACCTGACTGTCAACTTGTGCCCCCAAAACCTGTGTAGTGAGCAAATTTTTAATTATAATAAGCCACACAGCCTAGCACCAGAACACCCTCCTCTTGTAGTCCCATTAACCCTATTTTCCAGCGAACCTATTAAGAGGGATTCAGGTATATTGTTTTCACTTTACTGTACCTTGTTTGTCTGGTTGAAATATTCGACTGGAACAACATTTTTGCAGTTCTTCTTCAACTTTGTTACGTGCGTAGAGTCAATCAACTTGTAAGTCACCTCACACTTTCCAGATGCATCTACTTCCACCTGCTTTACATTTTTCACTTGATGCTGTTAAAAGGTTACACATGGGTTAGTGTGGTACTATGCTTGACATTCGGAAAAATAATACAAGCTATTTCTTAAGTAAAAATTTGTCTTTTATATATTGTACTGTACACCCATTAATTAATTATTTGCATTAAGAAATTATGGGCAGTTATGATACCGTCAATGGCTATAATATGAAACTGAATTTTCACAGCAAACTAAGAAACTATATACTACTGTACTGTTGTGATAGTACTGTACTGTCTTTTATTTTGATTTTCACCACTATTCAGTGAACTCACAAGGGTGATAAAAAAAATTCTGTCCACCAATATTATCTATAAACAATGGAATCTTTAAGGAAGCAAATGACTCCCATTACAGCAGAGCTAATGCTTACTATGAGGACAGTCAGAGAGGTAAGTCAGACTGAGGGAAGTCATGCACACATCATCACACCAGTCATGTGAAGATACAACCTATGATCTTCAACACAGGCATAAGAGGGTTAATAGTTTGCCTTTTTTTCACCCGAGCCTTTTTCAACTTCATGCAGGATGGTCAGAAAAACACGTAATAACACTAGTATAAGCAAAATAATAAACAGAATCAACAACTGCAGAGTTAATGGTCTACTAGCCCAATCACTCGACTAACATCACCACCAAGCAGTGAGATGCACCACATGTGTTTCTGTCAGGTGATAACACACTCAGCTTTTCTAATAACTCTCAAATAGTTTACAAGAACACTCAGGAGTATTAAGGACTGGTACAGACTTACACACCTAACAAGATGACTGTTGGTCAAATAGGTCCCATATCCTGTTTCACTAAAGTTTTCTTGACCATGGAAGAAAGGAATTGCAATATAGTAGTATCAGATATCCATAACTATGTACCCTGTATTACTTATGCTGTACTGTACTTGCATATGTAAACAGTCTTGATTTCATGTGATTTAAGAAATTTTAACCATTATGCTCAAAAGAGAAATAATTTGAATTGTTAAATACAATACTGTATAGTGTATACATGTACACAGTACTGCGTATTAATAAATTATCAATAATTTGATAAATACTCTAAAACAAAATGGACTAAAATCTTCAATTTTGTTTAAATCCTTCATATTTCTCACCTTACTGATGAGCCTGACCCATCAGTGCAAATTCTATCTTCCAGTTTCATACAATTTATCCCCACAGAAAACAATGACTTAATATTTCACTGGTTCCGTATCATATATAGTCATACTTATAGCATTTAACAACTCTTACTTTCTAAATATTTTACAACCATAACAAAAAACATGTTTTACTTGATGTACAGTACCTGAAACAAACTAGATATGCCCTTCATAAAATTGAGTACAGATGATTCACTTCCATCAATATGATAGACTTTCTTAATCTGGCCATTGTCCCAGTGCATGAAGAGGGGATGTAGAGAGTATTTCTCCACTTTTGATGTCTTATGAGCAAAGCCCTCAGGGGATGGTCCTTGTCGAGCCTTAACTGAAAGCTTAGGGGTTACCACCTGAAAGAGAAATGTGAAACTTGAGGCCATAATCCTTCAGTAGGTCTCTTTTGCTCATAAGAGTACAGTACATTACCATATTTTAGATGTCAGATACTGTACTGGAGATAAATTCCTACAATACATTTTCAAATAAATATTTCTATACAGTATTCATTAATTATCCATTTATATGTTTTGAGTACAGTTTTTTGCCCCCAGATATTACAAAGTAATGACTAGCCACAAACCTTGCACTGTGTATAACTTTTGTGCTCATTTACCATCACACAACACTCTCTAGCAGGTTGTTCCAAGAGTTCACAACTCACTCCAAAAAAGAAAACTGTGAGGGCAAGCTTTTTCGGAATGAAAGTTGTGAACTCTTGGAACCTGCCAGAGCGTGCTGTGATAGCACCGAGTGTGAGCTCTTTCAAGACCAGACTTGACTTGACCAGCACTGGAGCAGGTTCAGATACATTCAGGAGCCAGTACATACCCTGTACTTGCCGACAGTCATACAGACTCCCTATAGCCACATCTTTACCATATGCTAAAAGATGTCTTTAGTGATGTATTCTTCACCAGTCTCCACAATGCTTCAAATCTAAGTTACTGGTATAGTGTTCATTTTTATCAACACTATTCAGCTTCTTATCTGACTTCTTTAAGAAATTGTAGGAACTTCCTTCTTTAGTCTATCACCGTCTTTCTGTAACTACCATTAACATACAGTATACATTGACAAATCCCTAACCTGGGTCTAATGTTCTTAAAGTTTCTAAGTTACAGTACTATATTTTGATAAATTATACATCCTTGAACAACAAGTTAAAGTATTCAGAACGAATAATAGAGAACAAGGTACAGTACATACTGAGGATGAGCAACACTTACAGTGAGTTGCAGAACTTGTTCATGAGCATTAGTAGGGTGCTGCCACACTGGCGTCAACTCTGCCGTTAGTTCCACCCTGAAGCCCACATCCTTGGTGGTGGAGACAGGCAGTGGCTGGGGCTCATTCAGCAGCACTGATGTCTCATACCCATACATATACAGGGTCCCAAACTCAAACTGCCGTGTGTAAGCTGGAATTGATGAAAAAACTACAATACTCATTACTACATTTGTACACTGCACGTATTTATAATATACTGTATATTCAATAGTAGCAGAAATTCTTTACTATGTGAATTTGCAAGGAAACACTACAGTACTGTACTTAGCTATTCACTTAGGAAAAGTTAGTGTGCATTTTTAATAAATAATGACAAACTACAAGTATCTTATGTCTTTCATATTAATTAACAAGTCATTTAATTAAACCTTTTTGTTGGTTACTACAAGAGGCAAGAAAATTTTTATCAGGATGTGTAAATGAAGTATACACAAAAAAGTTTCCCCAGCAACTGATTACCAAACTGGTTCTCTGTTGTACACTGTACAACAAGGAACCAGTTTAACTGATATGTTAGCAAACTTAAAAAATCACAACACAAGTATTGTACTGTATAACCTATTGTGCTTCCATGTTAGGAAAAACATTCAATTAAGCGTTTATACATACAGTACAGTAGAGTAGAGTACAGTACAGTAGAGTAGAGTACAGTACAGTAGAGTACAGTATTCACTGAACCAGTAAAGACACTGTACTCCATATGATACCTGACTAAATATATCATCAGCATGACAGACACAAATAATGGTACAGAACCAACCATCTGAATGGCTAGTAAAGTGGTAAGTGGTGAAATGGCGAATTTAATTATATTATGATTCATAGAAATTTGATCTTAAGACTATGCTTAGCCAGGACAGTTGACATAGTTTGTGTCCAAATTTTGTCAACTTTCATTTCGTGCAGAAATCCTTGACGGTGAGCAAAGCAGCATTCATGTAATGATGATCCCTCCATCATCACACCTGGCATTATCTGAGCCACTTACCTCACCAGACACATTCATCACCATCAACTACAGTACAGTAGTACTCCCCAATGTCTTCTCCCCTTGTGTTGCAGGATATATTATAACTACAACTGGTACCAGCACGACCAAGTAAGATTCACCCTTATTAGCGTTTACCTTTACCTACAGGAGGAAGGCGCTGCATCGAAGATTACACAGCCCAGTGAAGTTTAGAGTCTGGTTCATTATTAATCAATGTACTACAGTACTACCAGTCCCACCACCAGAAAGAACCACCACCACGACTACTGCAAGGATGAATGACAACGCGACCCACCTGGGTAGGATGAGAGGAGAACGAAGGCATGGGCGGGCGCGAGGGCACATTGAAGTGCACCCCAGATGAGCCACGTGAGGCCGCCCACACCCACGGTGAGGGCGGCAGTGACCCTACAGTGCAGCATCAGCACCACTGTGGTTACCACCATGTCCACCACACTGCTGCTGATCACTACTAACCCACACACACTCAGCTGGGCATCATCTTCTGGCACCCCGGCCTCGAGTCACTTGTCACACCTCACGCACCCATAGTTCAAAGTCTGTCTTTTCTTCAAGTGTGAGTTTACTACACACTATTGTCCTCTTGACTATAACAGCACTCCCAGAAAATTTATTTCCTAAAGCCACATTGGGTCATCTGCCCATTGTTATGGTTTGTTCATTAGTCTACACTCATCACTTTTAACACACCACCTTACCACAGAGAAATATAAATACATATAGATCAATCTGTTATTATGTGTTTACTCTGAATAGCTGGGAATTAAAATTACAGACAACTTTGGAGAATCACATAGCAAGTATGTGAATAACATTACTATATTAAAATTTTTTTTAATAATTCCAATAACCCAGAACACACACACACATGCTTTTCTGTACAGTACAGTACTATATTGACTTTACTAGCACTATGGTGCAAATTGACCATGACTAGCACAGTAATAGCAAGTAAAGATGTAAATGAAGCCTCATAATCCTTGAGATGAGCACCGCACACCTCTGTACACTGACCTACATCTAACACTTAGTTTTTTCTTTGTGTCCCTTCAGTGAGAATAAAAGAACCTTATTTTATTAGTACTGATTGATTCATTATTTCTTCGATAATTACTACACAATGGTTATTATTGCAGCAACACATGGCAGATAAGAAACAACATGTGTGGTTTTGAGTTACAGATACACCGCAGAAACAATACAAGACCAAAATACTGAAATCCAATTTCAACAACCCAGCAGTATAACCTTTTTTTTCTATATTTTCAATTTCTTTCCGTTCTTTTTTTTCGCCCCCCACCCGAAAATACTACTGTAATACAGAAGTAATGTTACATGAACTTACCCAGAATCACGTTAACATACTTAAAGGGCAGCTGCTTCGAGTCTCCTGTTTACATTTGGTGATCAGAGTAAATAGTCTTTTACCGAGAAGACATGAATCAAAATAGCCTAATCTTATGATCTTAAAGAGTCCCATCTCGATAAAAAGGGAGTTCAAAAATTGTTCTTTCCACGCGGCCCTGGCCAGCTCTGTGGCCCTGCAGATGCGACCCACTACCTCTAGCGACAATGGTTACATAAAGTGGGCGGAGCTTTGAAGACGAAGGAAATTGTAGGGTAAAATACCAAAAACACACCAAAAAAATCTTAAACGGGAAACAACAGTTGCAGGCACATTTTCTTGGTTCCGGTACGTGAGTGGTGGAGGTGCGGGTCACCACAACTACTTATTAACACCGATGTGACGGGAGGCAGTTCACTTCCGTACCTCACCAGCAGGAAAGTACAGTATGAATAAACTGAACTATCTTTCCTCCTCTAGTCCTCGCTCTACATCGAAGACTATAATAAGTAATCTTTGCTCTACATCCTGGAACCCACCCGTCTGGCATCAAGAATTTTCCCCACAAACATTTATGTTACGGTATATTTCTACGTCAGAATTCACTTTTAAACCTCCTTACAGTATTTATGCATTAAATTGAAGAAAAAAGAACGAAAATATGTGCAGGACGTCTATTAATATAAAACATAAATATTAGTGCACAAGATAAACTTTTAACCAGATCCTGCAAAAGGTAACATTAATTAACGATTAGATTGTTGTTAACTATTTTTCCCATCAAAACCACAACTAACTTTGGATAACGATGGGTCAGCAGACGGTAATAAGCACAATCATAAGTAAAGTCAATTGTAATAAAAGAATAAACGTGAAGAAAGGTGCACAATTCTATACAAGGAGGCCAGACAAAAAGATTACCTCCAAGCAATCATTCCCAGTGAGGTGTAATCTTGGCCAATTTTCCAGCCAAAATCCGTCTACGTGACCCACCAGAGTGTGACCGACGCTCAACTGAACTTAATTCAAAGTTAATTGTGTCTTCCGCTTGCATTCACAACGATAGTTATTTTCACAACATACCGTTCATAATGACAAAATTTAGAATATGTAACTATTTTACACAAAATATGAAGCCCCTAATTAAGGTAAACCTTACTGGTATAAGGCACCTCTTAACCATTTACTTAAATTATACGTAATCATTTAAGATCCTCAGACAAGTTATGTTCTGGACATTTGACTCGGACGGGCATTAGTTTAACAAGATTAACAGACTAATGGAATCTATTTCCATACATCTTTACAATTTCGTTCAGTGGGGGATAAAAAAATAAATAAAAGTATAAGAGCGGTCGGCGGAGATCCCTAGAAATAGTACATCATCCCAAACGGATGTCACCAATTTCGCCGTGAGGGCCAGCTGCTGTTTTGACCACACTACACCCTATTACTATCTCACGGTAGGGCTGTGTCTGTCTGTCTTCCAGATACTGTACCGTAAATATCATGCTCTTGCAGCAGCATGATTTCATTACGATAAAACAAATTACAGTACTAATCTTGCAATCACTAGCACGGAGTATCTTAAATCACCATGCTCCCGTAGCCTAGTTGCTGTTATTGCTATCTCATCGTACCGGGGTAGAGATGACGATGCTAGATTATGTTGTTGTTGCTCTGAAGACTACCGTGTTCTACCCAAGGTAGCTGTCACCCACCTCCTGCTGGTGCTACTAATCCCCTGCTTAGGCCTGCTATCCCTCCTGTCTCCGCTGCTGGTACTGTTCCTACCGCCGTCCGCACCAACGCAAAACCTGATCTTCACGTCTGTGTGTTGCTACCAATTACTCTGTTGTTGTTCCCCCTCCTGCAACTGACAAATAGCCCAGTGGTGCTACTGCCGTTATGTTTATAACCACACCACTACCAACATATGAGCTAGTGGGCGGAGCTGTTCGCGGGGGATAAAAGGGGAGGGGGGAGGTGAATCCATGATGCCCTGCCAAAACTCGGACTTCAAAGCAACATCAACATAAATCCATAAGCACTGTATAGTGCAGACCCCAAGACTTATTGAACGCTCTTTAAAAAAGTATAACCAATGACTCACATAAATTACAACAGTAAAATATCGATACCACAAGCAAGCAGAGCTCTACATTGTAAGCCCGTGCAAACGGATGTACAATTAGCTACACGCTCTAAAAACTCACAAGTCACCTACAACAACTAATGATAACCCGAATTTCAGCTACATCACCTTTTGAGAGTCACTGATATTTACACAAGCAGTTCTAGGAATTCATGAGCAGAAACAAAGGCGGTTGGAGGAGTCCCTGGCCCCAGACCAACACCCCGGTGCCTGACATAGCTGTAAGTTGCTGCATAGCGTTACCTGATGCGCTGCACCTTTTCTTTAACATCCCATTGCCAGACATAGTTGTACTGTACCTGTCAGCCAAATATGACCAGACCCCGCTGCCAGACGAGGCTCTACCCCACTGTCACACATGGACACAATAAATAAACACAATCACAAAGGCAGGAGTCGTGCCCTGAAGTTACCTGGTGACCCCAGATACTAACAATAAGGGTCGACTCGCACCACCACCGAGCGTAACCTGCACCGTACACACCACCCATCAAGGTAATGTCAACACAACACGGGAGTGAAAAATGTCTTACCCAAGCAAGAAAAATCTGACCTAATAACCTGCCACAGGTTACTAGTCCGTAAACTTAACATATGTCTGACTCATCCTCTTTGTCTTACTTCCTTCTTCATTAATGATTTCTCTTATACTTTCCATTCTTCAGTTATATCTATCGTTTCTCATGACACACATCCTCAAGCATTCCTAGGGAGTATTTCCCCATAAATAATCATAAGACTTTCATAATAGTTACGGTAGAGTCGTAATTAAATTTCTACGTTATTTTAGCAGCTGCTTCGTGTCGATCCTTAGATACGAGAAACAACGATAAGTAAGAATTGCTCTTAGAATCTGGCCACGGGTGTAGGTTACTTACGTCACCCGTCCTAGCACCTGGGTCAACACCCTCCCACCATTTCCCTTACCTTTTCTGATACACTCACGTTCCAATATTCTTAACACACACTACCGTCCCAGAACATCTTGAACACCAACGTGGGTATATCAAACACGTAGTTTCCTGTACACGGAATTAAGTGACTCGCCAAAATCCCTCCACTAGCTACGCCCAGCCCACGACCCACAGCGTATCATCCCGCCGCCACACCTCACAATGCAGGACCTGAGGTAACTAACACGATACGGAATTTGAGTCTTGGTAGGTTTATATACAATACCATACATTGTTAATAAGTAAAGACAACCATACCGAAGCAAGTCCCACATCACAGCTCATCCTCACTACAGACTTCACAGGTACAAAATACACAAACAAACGCCTGTTAACACCTATATAATCAACACTAAGGCTGCCATGTTCGCTAATGTAAGGCAGTTTTTACCAAAATATCCTTTAATCAATAAATGTCATGTAACACGAGGTAAACACAGTCTTTAAATATCTAAGGTAAACACAGTCTTTAAACATCTAAGTTAAACAGTCTTTAAATATCGAAGGAGAAAAGTCTTTAAATATCTCAGGTAAACACAGTATTGTCCGACCTTTACAGTGACTGACATCATCCCTCACAATAAGAGGATCACTAAAGGTTACTGACCGCTCACCCAGGACCCGAAAAATATCTTTAAACCCTCTGAGACCTGACACAGAACATTCCTTCACCAAAACATTTCATACCAGGCTTTAACGGATCACCTGAAGAATAGACACCTCGGCTTAACCCTCTCCTTCATTAACGCACCCTAAAGATAGTTGAGACAAGAATCATGCGGGAGACAAGATGAGGAGGGAAGAGTGTAACAAGAGGGCGGGGTAGTGAGAGCTCAGGTGTAGTAGTAGTAGTAGTAGTAATTACCACACAGGTATGTGGCCCGACCGTCCTTCAACCCCGGCAAGGTCGACAGCCGAGCCCAGCCACCTTGAGGCACCACGACCACCAGGGCAAAACACGATGTTGGTCGCGGAGAAAATGCTGGAGACGAGAGACCGTGGGAAGCGCTGAGGCGGAGGAAGGGGAGGAGTGTGGAAATGTACAGACGAAATGGTAAACGGAGGAGGAAAAAAGCATGGAAGGATAAGGAGAGGGCCGAATAAATAAGATAGTGGGATCGGAAATACTAATATTGTATATCTTACGCACCAGAGTTTCAGGCCTGACGAGGTCCCGTAAACACACTTAATGGTGAGAACGTGTGGGGAGGAAACTGGTAACGAGCACAATTAACATAACGCAATGGTATGAAATGGTTGTGAGAAGACCTACTAATGTTTGACACGCATGTTAGTTAAAACAACAAGTATAACACTACGATACTATAGGAAATGGGAGTCAAGTGACGTGTCTAAGTACGTGTCCGCCACGCTGACACACAGGCATTTCCTCCCATGCTGTCAGGAACGATGCACAGAGTTTCCCTGAAGAAAAAAAATCCCAGAACCTTTCAGAAAAAATTAAACTTACAATACAGGAAAATCCGGATCACCTGAAATAGACACCTAAGCTTATTTCACCTTATTAGTCACCCTAACGCTAACCGACCCACCCCCTCCCCCGTAGCGTTAAGGTGTTGGTTTACTCTGGTGAAATAAGCTGGGGGCTCTATCTTCACGTAGTTTAAACCTCCCACTGACAAACAAGCCACCGAACTATATATATATTCCACTATAATACGAGACAAAATCCAACTAACAAAAAAAAAAGACTCGATTATGAGATTTTTTTTCCTTTTCACACAGAACTTTAACTTAACAAGACTGTCGGGATAAATCACACCAGTGGACTCAGTTTAGTAGCTTTTTGTGGTGTGTTTTTAACCCCTTCACTACAGGGGGCGCCACTTTTAATATCTTACTTAGCTAATACTAGACGATTTATTCAGTTTAGAAGGGAGCCCAAGCACTGAGGCGATCAAACACGTTTCTCGGTCCATTTCCATACCAAGCAACAAAAAACAACAGTTAAAATAGCTAAATAACAACAAAAATAGTTTCTCCACTGTTGAAACTAATTTTGAAATCACATGGCTATTAAACACTCCAGCTTATTTCACCTCAACATTTACAACCCGAATACAAACCTACTTACGAACCTAATCTAACCCCCTGAAGATTTACCAACCCTAAAACTAACCTAACCTCTGCCTGGTAGTGTTAAGAGTGGTTAATCTTCAGGTGAAATAAGCTAAGGGGTGTCTGATCTTCAGGTAATCCCAATACTGATGGTTACAGCCTAGTGGTCGAATGCCATACAACCCAGACCAGTAGAATTATTAAACTTTAACCCTTTGAGTACGATTATATAACCCTTTGAGTACGAGGACATAACCCCTTGAGTACGAAAACTTCATCCCTTGAGTACGATAATTTAACACCTTGAGTATGATGTTACCTTACTCAAGTGGAATACGATGAATTATTCCCCGGGAACGTACAGTAAGCGTACATTGTACTCGGTTAAGTCTTCGTTCTCAGGGTGTTGAAAGGTTTTATGGGTACACACAGTTTCCATATTTCGTTGGATACAATTGGGAGTTTCTATACCCAAAGGTGACACAGTACAGTTGACATATCCAGTTTTAAATAATTCAGGTGCCATATGATATTATCCAGAGTTTACAGTGGCCAAATCAAGATATTTGCACAGTTTCCATGTCCAGGGTTTACACAGTTGCCATACAATAATAATACCATTCCCATTCCACGAAAGTCAGGGTGTTTGGTCATACCAACGGGGTAATATAAATTTGTCAGGCGGCTATCACACACAGTTGCCAGAGAGGAGTGAGGATGAACGTGTGCCACTGACTGTCTTACAACACATACAAAGTTAACTCAGCAAGGCGCGGGCGTGTAGGATCCGACACAACCAAGCTCCGCGGCCTAACTGTACTCTGGCTCACTGACCCGACCCTCAACCTGCCGATGACGTGGCTCGGGTTCCAGCTAACGCATTACTGTCAGAAGTTTTCACCCATAAACTCACTGATGCTTGACATCTTTATGAAAACCGTTTCGGTGTGCAGCACGCAACATCGTCATCATGTTTTGTAAGTTACCCGAATGCTGAGTAAAGGAAGCTAGGACTGTATTATTGTTGGTGAAGTTTGGCGGACAACGGCAGCAGCACCGCGCCTCATAGCTAGTTGGGTCTTGGACCGTTTCCATGGATACTCCCTCACGCCAATGCTGACCCAACCCCCTACATTATTGTTATACACAAGACACTATGATGAAACTGTATGGAGGAAAACAGAATATCATTTTGAGGTCTACAGTCACATGAGCTTGAAAATAAAACATTGAGTTCTTTATTAGTACATCTTGGTTTTAATCAAGTTGTTAGTTTTTCATAATAAATATTTAAATTCGGTAAAACAAAATCGGGAGAGAAGACTACTACCACTTGTTGCGTGTCAGGTGGGTCCCGTGTTTAAGTGTGACAGGTAGTACAGTACTTGGGGTGTGGCTGGTAGGGGGCGACTCCAGGGTGCCTTATGACGTGCACTCTGGTGGTGGCTCCTGTGTGCACCAACTGGCAACCTGGCTCCTACTACGACGAAATGTTTGTTGGTCATACATAAGTTTTAATAAGTTATTTTAATACCCGGGTATAAGAAGTGGTTCTCGCTCGCGCTGAACACAGATTCTTGCCGAGTTAAGGGGTATATATTTTTGGTTTACTGATTGAGGAGTTTTGTATTGGTCTTTAGGGGTTTAAGGTCGGATAAGAGATTTTGTACGGGTCTTAAAAGAGGTTTAGGATTGGATAAAGGGTTTCATATTTATGTTAATGGCTTGGATAAGGGGTTCTATACCTACGTTGAGTGACAAGTCCTATTTATCCCTCACCATTGAAGCTTCTCCCGCACTGCCACCCTCACTCACTCGTCCCCGCCATTAACAATCACCGCCAATTCCCCAACTTCCGTTACAGAGACTGGATAAACAGGGCGTATGAAGAAATCAACCATAAAAAATAGGGAATTACTTCAAATTACTTATAAAATGTGGCGGGGAGAGGGTGTGGGACGATACCTTCTAGTCATTTAAGTCGCCGATGGCACATGTCCTTTTATTCACTAGCTAGGAGATCGAGTGCTGCTGAACCTAGGAGATCGAGTGCTGCTGAACCTAGGAGATCGAGTGCTGCTGAACCTAGGAGATCGAGTGCTGCTGAACCTAGGAGATCAAGTGCTGCTGAACCTAGGAGATCGAATGCTGCTGAACCTAGGAGATCGAATGCTGCTGAACCTAGGAGATCGAGTGCTGTTGAACCTAGGAGATCGAGTGCTGCTGAACCTGGAGATCGAGTGCTGCTGAACCTGGGAGATCGAGTGCTGCTGAACCTGGGAGATCGAGTGCTGCTGAACCTGGGGAGATCGAGTGCTGCTGAACCTAGGAGATCGAGTGCTGCTGAACCTAGGAGATCGAGTGCTGCTGAACCTGAGAGATCGAGTGCTGCTGAACCTGAGAGATCGAGTGCTGCTGAACCTAGGAGATCGAGTGCTGCTGAACCTGAGAGATCGAGTGCTGCTGAACCTAGGAGATCGAGTGCTGCTGAACCTAGGAGATCGAGTGCTGCTGAACCTGAGAGATCGAGTGCTGCTAAACCTGAAGCATGGTCGCCCCATCACCCAGAATGGCGATAACTCTAAAATCACTTGAAATTATTAATACGCCCAACATATTCCGGTCACCTATAAAATATGGACAATATTGTAGGTGACCGGAAAATAGCTACCGTAAGCATCTAGTTATATGGGAACGGAAAGGTATTAGTGTATATATATATATAGCCTGTGACTTAAAAAAATAAAACACTTACCGACCTTCACAAACTGGATGAGTGAAGGTTAACATGATATGGAAGAGGTAAAGTTTGTGGGAATGAACGTCACGTCACTACACATTCACTAAAAGCCACAACCAATGATGAAAAATTACAATATAAAGCCCCCGAATAATATCAATAAAGCATTACCGTAAATAATAATGTAACTACCACTAAACTTAATAAACAAAAAATATCACCATAACCAAATATAACAATGGAAAAATAGTAATACAGTAATGTACTATTCATAATATAGTATGGTAGGTTAAATAAACTGTTTCAATTCACTCTTAGCCCTGCAAGCGAGGGTTCAATGAGAAGTATTCGCGAATTCCCAGACACCGCTAAACACTGCTTAGGGTCACTTTACAGGTGCAAAGTCAACAGGGCTCATTTGTACGCCCACAGATACTATAACCATCTCTACACACACAAGTTTTATAACAGCATCGTGCCAATGTTAAACCCATGAACTAGCCTCTTAGAGAGACATAGGCCTACTGTACGGCACCAGCTGGATCACTACCAAGGTGAAGTATATAACCACAAGTAAGGCGCCACACAGCTCACACTACCAGACACAAGTATCATAATAAGAAAGACAAACTTGGGAAGACAGCCAAACGGATAAGTTGCCTGGCTTCAGGCCCATATACTGTATACATGTTTACACAGACAACCTCATAAAAATAAGGAGACAGACAGCTAGAAAAAGACAGACTAACAGGCAGGAATTACCTGGCGCCTGCTGGCATAGCGTGCCTGGAAAGAGAGAAATATCCGCCAGAGTTAGAGCCATGCAACAGTAATTACAAAAATAAAAATACAAGGAAGGCAAAATTTTTCAACTTAAGTTCATTTATTGTTCACATGAATTATTAGTTAGTTTACACAAAATGTCAGAAAATACCGTACAGTGCATCAAGGAGTAACACAGACACGAGGATACAAGCATTCCACATAGCCGCAGATTTTATACTCGAGTGGGCGGGCATATGACGGCCGACGTTTGCTACAATACTGTACCTGTCCGCTGGCAAGCCTAGAAGTATCTACAGTACACTACGCGGTCACATGATAAGATAAACGTTTATTTTCTCACAAGACCTGCCCCTGATCCCTTATCTCCCTGGCCGTGGCTACACACCAGTGACCATTAAGCTGTAACTCCACCACCTACCTCCCAAATAACATCTGACGCAGGAATGAAGAACGGCATCTTGCATATCCTACTGTCGGTAGGTTGGCTGAAGTAAATACAATCCATTTCATTTAGCAGAATTTCTAACTAACCTACGAAACATAGTGTGTCTAGTTGATCATTGGCACTCGAAAAGATGAGCAGATAACCAGTATCTAGTAATCTAGTTGATATACCGATAGGAAAATAATAGGGGTGTCTTATTCCCTTGCCATGAAAGATAATGTATGTACAGTGATTGATTTACTTTGTATGAAAATAAAATGTCTTCTTGATTTACTTCACATTCCCATGTGATGTGAAGTAAATAAATCCTAGTTGATCATATATAAACCTGATACAGAAAAAGGTATTATAGCTCCATGTTGTCATAATCGAAGGATATATACGAGAATAGATCCTATAAAAAAAATCACAGGTGTACACTCCGACAGGATGATTCGACTATAGTCTATTCATCCCCTTGAGGTCACACTGGCAGCCTGACCGTCGAGATAACAGAGATATATAAGCCTCCTTAACTATGCTGATCCCCGACACTACCTCCACAGATAATTACGATAAGGATTCCCAAGCTTACCCCTCCTGATAGGGACGACCAATCACCACTCCTCCCAGGGTACACGTGTTCCTAAGGTACACGGTGCACCGGTAATCACAGAGGCTGGTGTTTATGTTCACGGCCGCACCTCAAGTAGGGGAGGCTAGTATTGTAAACAGCATGATAACGTTACGTCGCTTCATTCCACTAAATATTCTAGTTTCAATACAGCTTTTAGTCTGGATTCAGTTTAGCATAGAGCCCAGTTTCAACAAATTTTAAACTATTTATTTTATTGCTTTGTAAATAATTTATAATATATCATATAACTTTGGATCAATTGAAGTGTAATAGTTTCAATTTACATCAAAACTTAATCTCAATTTGCTGGTATGCCTAGTTTCGTTTTCCAGTAGGCCTATAATACTGCCCAACTTTCAATTCCCATTATAATCTAGCTTCGATTCCCAATATAAACTTACTTCAGTTTCCAGTACCTCAGTTTACCGTATAACCTACCCATCATTTGGCCAGATCCCCAACTCCAAAATCCCCACAATTGTCCACGCACCTTTTGTCGTGTGGTGGTGTGAGGTGTTCGGGAGTTCCCAGCGCTGTTTGTCTCGACATAAGCATAAGAGACAGCATATTCAGCAATGATTTGCCCCAGACATCAGCCAACTTGACCTATGAACCTCCACGTCACCCCGGTCTTGTCTGCTCATCAACCCGGCCTTCCTCCCTCCCTCCCTCCCTCAAGTGTTCCTGCTGCTTTTGTTGTCTGTATATATAAGGTGTCTCAAAAAAATAAAAATTTTCGTGGCGATCGCGTGAATTCTTGTACGGCAACATTATTAACCAGCGAGTACAATGATGCCGTTGTAATACAAACATTCACGCGATCGTCACGGAAATCTATAAGGCAGTTTACACTAATACATTTTTTGAAGCACCCCTTTTATTCTGGATGGAGGCGTTATAACTGTATCCATATCTCCATCCATTGCACTGACAACTGTACTGAATCGGGAGAGCTTGTGAATTGTCTACACCACTTAATCTTACTGTCTCTTAAAAACTAAACTTAATGATTTTTATAACCTGTGAATTTTAACCCATTAGATGACTGGGTTGGTGTAAGCTGGCCTATATTTCGGCACAACAAATGGTCCAGGATGACGGGAAGAGCAACCGTGAGAGAACAGACAACTGGCGATATGCCTTAATATGTGTACATCATATCATGCATGCACTCCTGCTCCCTTCTCTGAATTTGCCGCTCATATACAATATGCGGGAGTG